CTTTTCATTAAATGTCATTTATCACTAATAAATATATTCAATTAAACACTTCAATTTCTATACATTGCTCATACATAAAACAGTCTTAAGAGAACCTCCTTAAGAAAATCACACCTACACTCTATTTGTTATGAACGATAAAAGATAATATTTTTCTCATAGTGAAGAATATTCTATGGCATCATTAGCTGACAGTACATATTAATAAGTGGATACTAAAAGAAATTGATCAAAAAAGAATAACATGGTCACAAATAATCAAATACTTGTGATACTAAATAAAAAAGATCAAAGTATTATATCATACATTGTGATATATACTAAAGTATTCACAGAAACTAAATTTTGTTTTTTACGATGAGCATTGAGAATAATTTTCTTTCACCTGAGTTTTTGATGAAATTTTGGTTCGATTCAGAATTGTAGTTTTGTCGTCTATCAATCAAATTAGTGAGGACCGATCAGTTCGTAAAAGAATATGACGCAGGTGGAAAATCCTAAAACAAAATTCATGTGTAAATTAATATACTTCCTTTACTCGTTCTGGTTCTATTGTACAACGAATAAGTTTGTTTATGTATTTGTTCTGAAATATATTTTTTAAAAAAAGTCAGATGATATATTAATAATTATCAAACAAGAAGAAATACATCGATTTATTCGTTTTTTTGTCTCTTATCTGTAAGTAAATAAGCATTACTTTCATTAGGATAACAAAACTAATTTAATCCATCTTTGGCTGTATATTTCAGAAATAATTCAACATTTTTGATATTTACAAATTAAACTTGAATAATCATGAAGCTGATGAACATAAAGAAAGTATAATTTTTATTTGTTTTTATCCAGATAATGAAATTGAAAATCTAAAGAGACGATTCTATTTTGATAAAATACAATCTCAAATAGATATTTTTCATGAAAAATTAAATATAATTAATATTTATGATGAGAGTGGGGGTGCGGCTGTTCATGATAAATGAGACGAATATCTACATCCATCCTTTCAATATTAGTCTTAAGTAGAAAAATCAAGTCTAAATGTATGATGAAGTCGCTTGGACAAGCAAAAGCTTTACTTACTTTGAATCTCTTTTCATCAAATTTATTAAAAAGAATTACAGAAAAAAAGAACACACTTATGTATTTAAGACTTTAGTACTTAATGAGTATTGGCACTCAAAAGAATCTTCTTACATATAAAATCGAGATCATAAGAAAAACATTTGCAAAATTGATTAATAAACGTTTAAACGGTAATGAATTGTTTATAGAAAAAGTAACTATTCTCATAATTATTATATTAAGTTGAAATTTCCATCCTTCTGCTATCATGGAAGCCTTATTTACATAACTGTTTTTAATTGCAACACTACTACGTTACATATGATCACACTCATCAGTTGAGCGAGCAACTAGATAATTATCTTCTTTTGCATGGTGTTCAATTAATTATTGAAACATAGAGTTGTATGCAAAGTTTTTATAAATGATTGGCATTCATAATATCTGTTTTACAAAAAGATTTTCTTGTTTAGTTTTCTGATCATCTGCTTCTTCATCGTTATTTCTTCTCATTCTTCTATCAAAACTTTCGGAAAGTCTTGAGGAAAGCATCAATGATCAAAAGTTAACACAACGTACTAATGTTTCCAGAAGATAATCAATATACTTGCATTCATAATAAATGAGAAATACTACTTCTTTTGATTACATAAAATAATCTTCTTTTCTTTTCTATCATAATTGATAAACAGTTACTTATTGTAACATACAATAAACATAGAATCTTTTGGCTCAATGTTATCGAAATATTTTTGTTATTTAAATTTGAAGAGTATCTGTTGATGTTAATGAAATCTTGATCTAATTATTTAAATTAAGATCTGTGAAAAGGTAATTTATCCTAACTATTAATGCAACTGAAACATGATGTATATATTTCAAAGCATTATTTTATTCAAATATTTCTTTGAATAAAACTAGTTGTCTTCTATTGAAAAATATAAATAATTGTATAATGACTTATCATTTGGATGTTATTTTGAAAAGTAAAATCGATATTTGTGTTCATGTTAAAGATAAATAGATTCCTAAACATCTTAAAAACAGAACATGTAAGAGTCATTGTGAACAATAATCATATATTGTAATTGGTCGTCTATATAAGTTCATGTCATCATTGAATATCGTTGATTTGAGGAGAAAACGTAACTGTTTACTCTGCTTAAATTATTTCTATCGTCGCAATACAATATATTCTAAGAAAATAGCTATGTGATATTTCTTTTGTTCGTAACTTAGAAATAACACATTTCGATAGAAATCAACAGAACAGAAGAAAAACGAAACGATCATATATGTGGTTAATGTGGCGAACGAATATTTTATTTATTCGCTTACAAGTTGTATAGACAGTATTCTTATCCATATCGAAATAATTACAGAATATCAGAAGTTCAGAAATACAATTCTTTTAAATAGTTTCATTTAAGTAAGTTTATTTTTTGAAATGATATCAAACGGTGATTATCTTGAGAATAAGGGTGATGATAATGAACATGACAATACAGTTAGATGCATAAGAGATTGATAAATCATCCACCTGAATCTACATTAAAACATTGTTTCATTGAATAAATATCATTAGAATTGTCTGGATTTTTCTTTGAAATTAAAAACACATCATCTTTTACGACTAAACAATGTTTTTATTGTCGTTGATTTGTTAAGTTTACATCTAGAAAATTGGATAAAGATATATTCACTTTTTTTATAGACTTCTATTCAAAGACATGACAACGGCAAACAATAGAAAACGATGCTTTTCATGCAGCAGAGAAAACAATACATATACTTGTGAAGGATGTTCAAAACGATTTTGTTCAATACATATACCAGAACATCATCAAAGATTAAATGAAGAACTAAATCATATTATTGATGATTATAATAAATTTAAACAAACAATTAATGAACAAAAACAAAGTCCACATGATCTTTCTTTAGTAAATCAAGTTAATCAATGGGAAAGAAATTCAATTGCAAAAATTCAACAAAAAGCAAAAGAATGTAGAGAAATTGTCATTAAATCATCACAAACATTGTTGAATGATATTGAAATAAAATTTAATGGGTTAAGTGAACAAATACAACGATTTCAGAAAGAAAATGATTTTAATGAAAATAATTTAAATCATTTAAGAAATCAATTAAGAAAAATGGCAAAAGAATTAAATAATCCATCAAATATTTCTATTCAACAAAATTCACAAACATTTATCAGTGATATTTCAATTATCTCATCAAAAAGTAAGTTCTTAAGAAATAATTTCTAGAAAAAACGTACTAGTTTTCGATGAAGTTAAATAGTATTAATATAAATAGAGAATTGAATTAAATTTTCTTCAGACTTTGAAAAGATATGTTTGATTAATAAAAACAAAATTGAATTATTTAAGATATATTGTTAGAACTTTATCACTTCACATATTGTTCAGTACCGTTTAGTAAATTAGAAAAATGAAATTTGAATCTGATAATCTGCGTAGAGATGATAGATTTATTCATTCATTACAGTAAAACACTCCAAACAATATTTTTGTTTGTCAAATATTTGTAATATTCTTTGTTTTATTACTAGATAGGTTTATCGATGAATAAACTTTCAAATACAAATTTCATCAATGAATTTTTTATTAAATATATATCATTTCAGAAACTAAAAATCTCTATAAAATGGTTTTAAATCTGAAGAAAAAGTCCAAGGAGATTTTTTTATATGACATCAATATGGATTTTAAATAGAAAAAGAATGAAAAGAAGACAAATCGAAATAAAATAAAAGTTATCTTTTCATGACACATGTTTATCAACATTTCATTTAAAATTTAACTTTGACAAAAAAATGAAATCAAAGTTTCATTGAAAACTAATCTTCTTTTTTTTTTCCTCTTCTTCTTTTCATTAAAATCTTTTATTTTCATTCTTTTCTAGACCTTAAATTCAACAAATGGAAACAAAATGCCACGACTGTAGCTGGTGGACATGGACTAGGACGGAAATTAAATCAAGTCACTGATCCTGAAGGGATCTTTATTGATAAAAAGAAAAATATTCTTATTGTTGATTATAATAATCATCGTATTGTTGTATGGAAATGTAATGCAAAAGAAGGACAACTCATTGCAGGTGGAAATGGACAAGGAAATCGAATGAATCAGTTAAATAATCCACTAGATGTGATTGTTGACCAACAAAATCATTCGATCATCATTGCTGATTTTGAGAACAGTCGAGTGATTCAATGGTTGAATCAAAAGCAACAAATTCTCATTCAGAATATTGACTGTTCTGGCTTGGCAATGGATAAAAATGGGTTTCTTTATGTTTCTGATTGTAGTAATAATGAAGTGAGACGATGGAAAATGGTTGAATACAACAACGAAGGAATTTTAGTAGCAGGTAGAAATGGAAAAGGTGATCAACTTAATCAACTCGATTGTCCTACTTTTATCTTTGTTGATGACGATCAATGTGTTTACATATCAGATCAAAACAATCATCGTGTAATGAAATGGAGAAAAGGTGCAAAAGAAGGAATAATTGTGGCTGGAGGAAATGGAAAAGGAGGAAATCTCAATCAATTGTGTTATCCTCAAGGAATAATTGTTGATGATTTGGGTCAAATTTATGTGGGAGATTGTGGGAATCATCGAATAATGCGTTGGTGTGAAGAAAAAGAAAAAGGTGAAATTATTGTTGGTGGAAATGGTCAAGGAAATCAATTAAATCAATTGGATCAACCCCGTGGTATATCTTTTGATGATGAAGGAAATCTTTACGTTGTTGATAGTTTTAATCATCGAATTCAAAAATTTGTAACAGTTTTGTGAATGGAATTTTAATTTTGAAAAATAGAAAGAATAAAGTTTTATTGTTAAAAATCAATGAAAAAATCGATTCAATTTTTGATAAAAAAAAGAACGAAGAAAACTCTTTTTGTTTTTTTTCATTCAAAATTGAACTTAACTTGGTAATTTGAATTGAAATTAAATTCTATTTGATAAAACTTGAAAATTATTCAATTTTCTTTTTAAATATTCGATCAATCGATTTTAATTGTCACAATCATTTTTTACAAAACTTAAGCTCTAACATTCTTAGCATAATTTTACAGCATCTAACAAAAACTAAAAAATCGATTAGATTTTGAAATCTTTTGTCCTTCGAATATCATATGTAAATTCTTATTTCATATATTTACCGTAAGAAAAAGAAACTTGATAACGTCCATTATATGAAGATAAAAAAGATAAAATATTATAGTAAGGATCTTACATAAAAGAGTAATCATTTTTTTTCTATCATGGATAACGATGAAGATCAAGAACATTTATTGTTAAGTTCATTTACAGAAGAAACTCCTCTAACAGATAATCAATCTAATGAAGAAGAAGAAATCATATACGAAACATATGATTGGACTACCAGTTTAATTAGTCAAGTCAGAATATTTAGTTAAAGTTGTATTATTATAACTTTACGATTCATTGTATAGATTTGTCGTGAAGGAGATTTACATCGGTTACGTTTATTTATTGATTATAGTCGACAAATGTCAACATTGGCTGAATATGCAGCTCAAATAGCTGATCGACTTGATACTGATACAGGCCTTTCACCATTGCATCATGCTGCTCGTTATCAACAATTACATGTTTGTACAATACTTTTATCGAATATGAATTTTAAGTATCTACTTAGAAAAAAGAAGTTAACAATATAATATATTTTTCTATATTCTAACAGATTTGGTGTTAATATAAAAGATGTAAATGGTCAAACGCCGATGCATTCTGCGTTTCGTTCACCGAATAGTATGTTAAATATAGAAAATCAAGTTCTAATTGAAACTGATTTTGGTGATCAAGTATTAAAATAAATATTATATATGTGTTAAAAAGTCTTTCTTGTTTTGAATTTTAACAGATTCAAGATGCTCAAACATGGCAAGAAGAATATATTACAAAAATTCTTCCAAGTATTCATCCATTGATTTATTTATTTGCTAAAGCTAATGGTGATATCAATGCACGTGATAAATATCTTCAAACACCACTTCATTATGCTGTAGCTCGTCATAATTTATCAGGTGTTAAACTATTAATTACATTAAATGCAGATATTGAAGTAAATTTACAATAACAACAAAAAAATTGGAATCGTTTTGAATCATATTTTTCTTTTATTTAGGCTGGAGATCGTCAGGGAATTCGTCCATTACATTTAGCATGTAAAGAAGGTTCTTTATCGATCGTAGAATATTTAATGGAACAAAATGCTGAAATCGATGCTATGGATGCTGATGAATGGATACCAGTTCATCATGCATGTATAAAAGGACATTTAGAAATTATAAAACTAATTCATTTCAAAGAAAAATTGAAATTTCAAGAACTTCTAGAAATGAAAACAAATACAGATGCAACATGTTTACATTTAGCTGTACAAAGCGGAAATATTGAACTAGTTGAATATATTCTAACAGAATATACTGATAATGATTTAAAATTCTTTATTAATGAACAAACAGAACCAATGGGTACTGTTTTACATATAGCAGGTAAATGTGTCAAACAAATTTTAATAATAAAATATATGTAATTGTCTAGCTAAATTTTGTGATCGATCTATGCTGAATCTTCTTTATGGTTTTGGTGCTGATCCAACAATATTAAATTCATATGAACAATCTTCACTGCATATAGCAAGTGTATCGAATCGTCTTGATATTATCGAAGAACTTTATAATCTTACACAATCATCACTTCTAGAAATCAAGGATAATCATGGTCAAACAGCTTTATCTGTTACAACGCATCCTGATATTATCGATAGATTAATTGCATTTGGTGCTGATATTTCAAGTCTTGATAATAATCATATGAATGCAATAATGATTGCTGTATCAAATGTTCATATTCCAATTGTTGATCGTTTATTATGTTCTATTAATGATCAATCATTGTCAATACTTGATCAAGTTGAAAATCGAAATGATCGTTCAATATTTCTAATAGCTATTCAAACTGGTTCCATTGATATGTGTTCATTATTATTAACTCATCCATATATACGATGGGATACAACTGATAAACAACGTATGAATGCAATTCACATCGCTGCACAAAATAATTCTTATGATTTAATAGAATTTCTTTATAATTATATTCGAAAATCAAATAAATTTTTATCAATGAAAAGTCGTAGTTATTCCACTGCAACAACAATTGATTCAGATACAATTAATATTCAGACGACAACATCATCGTCAAACTTACGTTTGTATATCGATGCACAAAATGAAGATGGAAAAACTCCATTACATTTAGCAGCTGAACAAGGTCATGCGTCATGTATTCAAATGCTTCTTAATTATGGTGCCAATGTTTTACTTGTAAATTATCTTGGTCAATTACCCCTTCATTCTGCTATACAAAATGGACATAGTCAATGTGCTGATTTATTAATAAAAAATTCTATAACATATATGACTGAATTTCATTCGGTTCTATTACGAAGGCAATCACCTTTGATTACTGCTTGTCAAAATGGTTTTGTTGATATTGTAAAACTTTTAATTTCTCAAAATATTGGAGTCGATTTTGATATCGAGAAAGAAGAAAATCCTTTAGAAATTGCAATAAAATATCGACAAATTGAAACAATACATGTACTTTTAGAACATCCACTTACAGAATATTGGCTTATGGCAATAAGAAATTCACATCAAACACCATTAAGAGATATGATTCGATATATACCAGATTGCGCACAACATGCATTGGATAAATTAATATTAAAAACAAATAGAATAGATTTCTTTGGAGAAACATTCGAACGAACAACTTATAATTATAAATATATTGATGATTATTTTCTGTAAGTAAAAATCAATCTAAATCTAATGAAGATTTTTATAATTAATTTATTAGGGATAACAATAGATTGTATACAAGAAGTAGTCGTCAACTCTATCGTAATCATCCACTGATAATTGCTCTTGATCGTGAACATCATTCCATACTTGAACATCCTCTTATTCAACAATTAATGGCACATAAATGGAAATTGTATCGTTTATGGTTTTATTTACCTCGTATTTTATCTTTTTTACTTTTATTTATTTTAACATGCTATGTTCTTATTGTACCTGCTCCAGTTATCAATTCATTATCATTACAAATACCAACAAAAACTATTCTATATTCAATAATAACTAGTTCAATAATTCGATGGATTATTCTTACATTATCGACAATAAATATACTGAAAGTTTTCCTTGAAATTATTCTATATCGAGGTTTTCATGTTCCATTTGCACAATTATTTGGATTAATCACATTTATTTCAACATTAGCTGCATTTATACCATTAAAAAATCATATGACAAATGAACAATGGCAAATAAAATCATTTGCAATCTTATTTCAATGGTTTAATATCGCTGTTATACTTCGTTCAGTACCATTTTTTGGACAATCTCTTGTTATGCTTGAATCAATCTTAATAAAATTTGTCTTATTATTAATTTCAATATTTCCATTACTTATTGCATTTACAATGTCAATAAAAATGATATTTTTTAATCAACCAGCATTTGTAACATTAACAAAAACATTACATAAATCTTCGTCGATGATTGTTGGAGAATTTGATTATGAAACATTATTTTTTTCTAAAGCAACATTTACAGCTGCATCATTTATATTTGTACCATTTATTGTTATAATGACTATTGTTTTTATTAATCTTTTATTAGGTATAACAGTTGGTGATATTCAAAGTTCAATAGATAACGCACGAGCAAAAGCTAGTGAGTTAAAATTAAATTAAAATCTAGAATTCAAAATTGATTTATTTCTAGATGCTTATTGGATTCGTGATCTTATTTATATTGAATCAACTCTACCAAGTAAAACTTGGTTAAAATCGAATATAATCGAACAAGAAATCGTCGATCATTATCTCAAAGAATCCATTCAAAATAAAACAGATGAACATAAAGATGATGAAGATGAATTATTAATAAATCATCCTTATGCAGCTGAATTAAGAAAATTATTAGATATTCTTCATATATTATGTACACAAGCAAATCAAGTTTTAGAATACGAAATTAATTTAGAAAAAACGCTAAAACGATTATTAACAACAAAGGAAACTCAAGCATCAAATTTCGATCAATTTCTAACTGTTCAATAAAATTTACCATGCTCATTTTTTTTAGCGTATAATAAAATGAAACAAAACCATCATTTTTTTAAACAACTAAAAAACAAAAGACACTTAATCCTAACCACAGTCTCAAGGGTTCTTCTTTTTTATGAAAATAGTATGGTATGAAACCTATAAAACGTGTGAATTCTTACTATTTACCTAGTGCAACAAATCTATTGAATATTGTTTTTTTTGCATGTTCTCTACTGAAACTACAATAACACTTGAATAAGTTCGTTTGAAATTAAAAAAAATGACGTACAATTAAATAACCATCTATTTATAGATAGTTTGTTTTTTTTCTATTGCGTTTTTATTTAATTAACATACACGAATAGAACATGTGATTCTTCATTTATCCATTTATCACATATTTCCAGATATTATCTTTTATCATTGTATAACATACCATATTCATACATATTTTAGCATCTGTTCGTTTCTTATACATACGTTTAGTATAAAAACATATATACAATCTTCACTTTTTTCAACATTGTTTATTTTATGTTGTCGTCAAAAGAAATAAAAGTATGTTATCATAGTCTGTTCTATATAGAAAAAATAAAAATCTTGATTTTAAATTATTTAGTACAGCTGTTATTTTTTTTTGTTGTCATGATAGAAAATGAGCATATAAATTATTAACAGATAAAAATTATTGATTAAAAACAGTAACACGATGAATTATTTCATCATAAGTACACACTGTTCGACCTTGAGTTTCTATTATTTGTCGTAGTGGTTTTTCGTTTCTGAAATTGAGAATACAAAAAAACAAGTGAAAACGAATTGAAAAAATTTGTTACTGTTTTGTATTTCTTAAGCCACTCGATGACTGACTACTTTCAGTATTAGTCAACAAAACACTCTTCTCAATTGTTTATATTCGCATGTGTCTGTAAATAATATATTCTTTACTTCTTCTCTTTTTTTATACAAAAGATTAAATAGAAGTGAAAAGTATGTTTTTTCAACGACTGTGAAGTTGCTGACAAGTTTTAATAGAATGCATGTAAGTCTTCTTTCCATATGATATATATTTATTTTATATATGAGTTAAGATCATTAGAAAAAAATAATATTGTCAATCGTTGATTAGTTTGAAAGAATGAACATTGTCCGCGGTAGTATAGTGGTTAGTATCCCCGCCTGTCACGCGGGAAACCGGGGTTCGATTCCCCGCCGCGGAGTAATAGATCTTCTTTTTTTTTACGCACGTTCTAATGGATAGATAGAAATTTTCATTCTTATTTCTTTCATGCATATATAATACTTCTTAATCATTAAATGAACGAATCGATCTATCATTATATTTTTGATGAGATATTAGTCATGCTGAATAAGATTCAATTTTTTTCCTTTTTGTTATTCTTATTGATTGCTTTCACTGATTAGAAGGGAGAACTATCGTCACTACTACTATGGGCGAAAGAATAATGTTGATTATACTTTTGAGGATTACTAAAGATTAATTCAATCGTTCATTATTGAAGAGGTAGGATGTAAGTAAGTAGCAATTTGAGAATAGAATGGTTCATTTAAACTTCTTCAACTGTTCATAGAAGATGTATAGAGAAAAAAAAGATCAAAGTAACGTATGTATTAAACAACAATTTATTGCATACATAGATGAAATTACTAATATAGTTGTACGTGAGTAATCGAAGAGGATTTATTAAGATTAAAAATAGCTTGTAGAAATTGTGATGTGAGTCATATTACAATAGCAAAGGAGAATCTAAGAATGATTATAATAAATAATCTTAGTTTTAAATGATAGTTTACATTATATTACTCAAAATACATAGACATATTATTTTTATCGAAATCCTATAACAGTCATAGAAGAATCTTGTATATACATTGAAAAAAAAGTCAAAACGACACAATTTAATTTGTGTTATAAGTTTTCTTCGCCTTCTTTCTACTCCTTCAAACAACAATAGAGTATCTATATATAGTATCGAATGTACTAACCACCTATATCCTAATGATCATATGATAGCATTCAAATCGATATTTAATGAACATAAAAAGTATGTTGTATTTTTAAATATACGCATCTGAACGTGAAGATAATATGATGTTAGTATAGGTTACAATCAACTTAACACTATAATTCTCTCGAATGTATGAATAGTATCGATTAAAATGTCCTTCTAAAATTCTTGAAAGTCATCTATCTGCAATAGAATTCAACAGTAATGAATGATTATATATATAAAATAAATGTCCCTGAAAATTTACACTTGTTTGTCTGATTTAGTCAACAAAAATTTTATAGCTTCTTTTATTTCAGACAGTAGTCATATAACTTACTTCTTTCGAGTAAATTTTACAAGATTAAAAATCATAATCATTATACTATTTCAAGTTTTTTATTGTATTTTTCTTTCTTATATATTAATTGAGTAAAGTGTAACATGCTAGCGAATATGTCGAAGGACAATTTATCGTCATGTACAGATGATTACACGTTTAGGTATTCGATATGTCGTTTATAATCATTATTTTATTGCTATTTCTCCTTCATATCTGTGACTAGACTTGATTTGCCTAAGCTTTTTATTTATATGTATATATATCTTCTAGGCCAATTTATGTTTATTTAATCAAGAATATTTTTCTCCGAAGAAAATGGGTATACATCAACAGTATCATATGAATTCATCATCATCATCATCATATTTAAGTGATACATTACCTTCAAAACTTTCAAAAGATGATTATGATTTTATATGGAATAATCCAAATGAACTTGATTTACTTGACATGAAAAAATCTTCAATTATGTCAACATCACAAAATCAAGATTATTTTCTTCGTGTTTTACCATGTATACGAAAATTATTTATTCGATTTGATTCCATATGTCCAAATATTTATCGTATACATTGTTCGGATTCATTACGAGTTTTAAATGAAATTATTTGTCTTACAAATGAATATCTTCATATATCACCAATATCAACAATAACAACAAGTGAATTACTTGTTAATGATAAATATTTTGATGATTTCATATCAAAATTAAGATTACCAACAATATCACAAAAACGTTCTTATCCAATAAAAAATACTGAAATACTTTGCTTTGGTCAAGGTATACAATCATATAATCCTAATAATGAACTTAATAAAACATGTTTATTTTGTTTTGAATTGACAACAACAACAAAAACAAGTTCATCATTACCTATTGATGTATTTATCTTAGATCCTGATGATAAATTAGTTACAATTGATCTTAAATATATCAATACATATAATCAAGGTTATACAAAATTGTTTTCATGTAGTTATACACCAACAACGAAAGCAGGAATGTATAGAATATCATTCTTTTATAATAATGTTAAAATTGTTAATCAACAACATATGATTTTTATACGTCATTCAATATCAAATCCTTGTTTTTATCAAAAGAAAGAACAATCATCATATGAAGAACCAATAAAATTACCTCAACAAAGTAAATACAAAAAAAAATTATTCTTATCTAATTGAGAATAAATCGCTATTATATATGAAAATACTATGAGATATTATCAAAATCAACATTTTTTACTTTTCTATTTCTCACAGATACTTGAGATCTGATTATTCAGTCTCTAAAATACTTGACTTGACTATTAGGATATTTTCAAATTTGCATTTTTGTTCTCTATAGTAAGAATTAGTAATGGTAGTAGTATAGAGGAAAAATACATTTATCCTATAACCAAATGGTCTTTAATAAGCTTTATTCAAACGTTATCAAGAAAGAGAAAAAATAACAACGCCATGCGTGTATATATATTATAGAATTTCAGTTCTATATCATTTTCTTCTTTAACTGATGTGATGTAAACGCACAATTTTCATAATGACATATCTACCATATCGTTCACAAATGCTTTCTTTGTTACGATCAAGTAAGAAAAATAAAATTTAGAAGAAGAAATAAGAAAATATCTTACTGTTAATAAATAAATATATTATATTTTATATGAATAGACATACCTCATTATGAATTAGAAGGTGATGGATGTTCAACAAAAATTATTGTTAATTCAATTGCACGTTTTCGTCTTCGATTGAAATCACCAATAAATTCTCATTATAGTCCAACAGTTGATTCGTTTTCTCTTTCAATACTTGATCCACATGGTCATACAATAGTTGTTCAACGTCGTTTATTATCACCTGATTTACTTGAATTAACTTATCAACCAATGTCAATTGGTGAACATCATTTAATAATATTATTTAATAATAAAATTCATCGTCAATTATCAATTGATGTTATACATGATGAATTAAATCATTTATCAAAATTAAAACCATTTGGACCGGGTATTAAACATGCAATTGCTGGTGTACCAACAGAATTTTATGTTGATCTTAATCAAACAGCAAATCATAATATACATTTTCGTTTAGAACCATCATATCAAGCTGAAATTGATTATGAACAACAAATGGCAACTGTACGTTTCACACCATCAAAAGAAGGCAAATGTCCTATACATATACTTGAAAATGATAAAGATATACCGAATTCACCATTTAATTCACGTGTAGAAAAAGGTTTAACATTACGTGATAAACCACGTATACGAGTTGTTGGTTTACCAAATCAAATTATGCTTCATCGAACGGTTGAATTTCAAGTAAGATTAATAGAATTTTATTTTTTCGAGTCTATGCAGTAATAAAATATCTATGTTGAAGATCAAAAAATGTTGTTTATTTTGAGATTATTATAGACATATAATGTTTATTTTCTATTCAAAGGTCTTTATTGACAATCCATTTGATGATTCCAATAATTTACTTTGTGTTGATATATTAACGGATGATAATATTTCTCCGACTGTATCAATACGTCGCCGTCATCGATCATCTTATGTTTGTTCATTTATACCTGTTACATTAGGTAAATATTTAATATCAATTGATTATGCTGGTATTGTTGCTGAACATAATCCATTTTGTTGTTATGTTATACAAGAAAAAGATATATTATTAAATGGTCCAGCTATGAATAATCAATGTTTAACATTAAATCAACCCACGCATTTTTATTTTGCGTTAAAAGATTGTTTAACAACAAATTTAAATGAAAAAAATTCCACATATGAAAGTGGTTATAGTTCAAATGATGATATATCATCGAAATCATCTTTATCATCATCATCAACAGATATTCAAACATCAGCCAATGATGATGAAAATAATTATCGTGTTACAATTACTGATGGACAAGGACATATTAAATCAAATGTTAATGTTAAAGAATTCTATGATACACAAAATGAGAATAATATACGTGTTGATTTTACACCGGATGAACAAATTTTGTATATAAATGTTTCTTGTGCTTGGTAAATGTGTTTTGAGATAAAATGAATGTTATACATGACGGGTATAATGAAATAAAAAAATATGAAATTAATCAATATATCAAAAACGAGAACAAAATAAAAATAAAGTTTTCTTTTTTTTTCGATGAATTAATTGTTCATTTTGTTTTTTTTATGAACGTTTAGCAAAATAATCTCAAGTATTTTTTTTTTATCATATTATATTTGGTTATTTTTGAATACACATAAAACTATACTTATAATATAGGCACTACGATAATAAAAACAGAAGATACGAAAAAGTCATAGTTTAATATAGATTAAAACTATTCATCTCCGAATTTTTTACTCGATTATAACATGTATTCTATCAATATTGCCGAAATTTGTCTATTACGATTTTCTTTTTCTCTCACGAGATATGTTATTATACATTAGTATATCCTCTAGACATAAACAAAAACAAGTCGAAAACATTTTATATGAAACTAGTCACTGTCATTCTATACTGTATGACTCGTTTTATGATTTTCTTTCTAATATTCATAGTATACAATAAACAGAGATATGTATAACTTCTATTTATAATATTTTGATCCATTACAATATTGTTCTATTTTTACAATGAATATTACTTTTTCATATCTCAACTCATTGATGTAGATAAGTTCATTAATTAATCAAAGAATCAAATATTGTTCTTTCTGTAATCAGTCAATAAGCTTATATAACAAAAAAGAATTACATCAATTAATGTATTTGATCACATCATGTAAATTATTATTGGTTTGTATTATTGATTGAGAGTTGGGAATATTTAATATTGATTTTATGTCGAAACAGCAATCAATTGTTATCATTTCTATTTCAACGACTAAAATATACTTATCATGAAGTAAGTTATCATGTTTATTTATAAAAGTTATATATAGAATTATTTTTTATTTTAGTTCTACTATATTTGAACCTCAATCAACATCAACACCAAGAAAAGTTAATACAAATTTATGTTCTACACCACGACCGGCTCATATTCGATGGTCTTTATCAAAACATACACCTTGTCCTGTTGACTCATCGACACCAAATAGAAAAAAAATGAAAAAAATTATTGTTCCTGATCTTCAACGTTTAATTTATTCATCAACACAATCTTCATTTCAAATTTGGGAGTTATAAATTTTGTATTGTATTTTTTTAGTTAAATATATTTATACTTCTTAAATAAATAATCTATTAAACTAAACAATTGTTTTTTAGAAGAATCATGTTTATTATAATTCATAGATACATATTTATATACAAAAAAAAGTATTGATAAAAGTTAATAAAAAATAAATAAATATGGATTAATTACTTTCATCATCGTCTTGATCAGAATCTAAAGATTGTAGAACATCTAATAAATTTTGTAAACGTTCTTTTTGTACTTCTAAACGAAGCATTCGTTCTACAATTAAACGTTGTTCACATTCGATTTTTTTTATTTCGGATGCTTTGTCGCCATCTTTACCAATTATCTGTTGATATTTATTGTTTTGATCTTTAATAGACATCGACATGTATTGTTTGTTAAATTATGTACGCGTATTAGACTAATATTGATCTGAGTGTATTATATGAAGAAGAAAAAGAATGATATTGTGTTTATTACTGCGTATCGACTGTATGAAATAGGTGATTTTTAATTTATATATGTAGGTGCACACGCACGTGGAGAGAATGATATAGGAGAAAACTGGAAGATATAATCAGTTTATGTCAAAATGCACTTGTTGATGACTATGAAAAAACGAACGAATATTACTAATTATGTTTTTCAATTCGACCTGTTAAATAAACTGGTGACATTATTTGTTTTTTGTACTGATGATTCTAATAAAATAGACACTATTAGTGCAAAACTCAAGGTAAATAAATGAGTAGTTTCGACCTTTATTACTGATAGAATTCTGTTTAACATTATAACATAAACAACATTATTTTACAATCATACTTACCTTAATATGGTGTATTGATGATCGTATCTCATGTGTATTATAGCATTGAGATTGATTGAGAAGGACATACTCTATCAAAATCAAATCATGACATCAAGCTAAAACCACCTGGATAATAGAACGGAGTTATATATATATTACATATTCTCAAGTATCATCTATAAGACTAAATTACTATTGATGATTAATAGTTGTTTCTTTTTTTAAATGAAAGCACAATCGTATTAATAATAAAAATATGATATATCATCGAAATAGATGACATTATTGTTGTTTCGAACTTTATCTATGAATTACGAATATGTGAATCTTTAGTTTTATTCAAAAAACAATTTTTGTACAAAAAAATAACATGAATTTAGTTTAGTATATTACTTCAATTTTTCTAATCAGATTTTGGGTTCGAATTAATACGTTTAACTTGATGTTTTTGGCTTTTTTTTCTGCCATTTGATTTTGTTGATTGTAGTAGATTTAATAAGTATTTTAATCGTTGCTTTTCTACATCAATACGATCGATTTCTGCAAGTATTATACATTGTTCATATTCAATTTGTTGAAGTTCTAATAAATCATTTGATAATGTACAAGAATTTTTTAATAACATTCGATATATATCAGTTTCACTTGTAGTAATATTCATATCTTCGTCGAGCATTGAGTTTTCACTATTAGTAGTATTTGATAAATCGTTTGAAGATAAGTGTAGTGTATTCATCTAATCTGCTGTTGATATACGTCCGATAATAGTTGAAGGTGCGGTGACATTTACGATTAAAACCGATACTTATATATGATGTCGATACAGTCACTCATAAATCGATTAAGAAGTAGTGGGCAAGTGACTAAGCAGAGAAAAATAAAACGAAATACGATGATTTTTATTTGTGCATTCATCTGTGTCGTAAGTGATGTTATTTTGTAATTGTGATGGTGTTTATCGGAATAAAAAGTACATTGATGATAAAAGAGAAGTATAAATCACGTCTTCTTACATGAATATAATCTCCATCATATAAATGATTAGTCCTTATTCTTTTGTTGAGTGAAATAAAAAATTAGTTGTTAATAAATAACCAGAACGTTTGTTTTCTAAGCAGTAAATAAGTTAGAAAGTTGAGGATGAATTCAAACTGATTTTAAGTATCAAATTCAATTAATATAATTTAAATTATGAAGAAAAGATAAAATTTGCAAGCGGAAATATTATTCCAACGAGTAATACATAATTTCAAAGAAAGGGTTTTTCTATACATCTAATTATTTACTGAAACAGTTATGAATAGAACAATTAGTTTAATGTATTGAAATAATTTTTCTCATAATAGCATCTCGTCAATACAAAGCAAAGGTTTTTTTTCATTCGTCTAGATTATTAAATTGTACTTTTAAACTGAATAAATCTATCTATTCGATAATTACTAGTTTTCATAAATATCAAAAAGTATTTTATCATGCGGTTTTGCAGTAATATAGCTGCAAGAGCGTCAGAAAATACCAAACTAAAAAGAATTCTAATTTCAGTTTTTACTTTATCGAAAAAAATAATATTTAAATATTAAAGTATAATGAATTCTATTCAAAAGAGAATCCAATTGACATGAACAAGCAAAACTGATATATATATACCAAGCAATCAGAGATGCGTGATCTGATCGTGAAGTTGATAAAAAAAAAGATATTCCAAATCTTGATAACATTTGTGACAAGAAATTGATTTTTACTCGTTTCTTAGTGTATAATCCATTTATTTAACACAATGTATCGATTATTAATATGAACAAAAAGGAAATACATGCATTTACATATCGTCATGAATAAATATTTATCTAATTTTGTTTTTCTTTCGTTAATACAAGGATAATGATTTGTACTACTCAAATATAAAAAGCATCATGTATTCATTTTATTTTTTCATCCACTTTTTTTATCGCTCATGTGCATTTGCATTTACCATTATTGAAGATCGAGAAAAAGAATTGAATATGTTTTTTCTTATTGTCAATTTGAAGAACCGAAAAAAAATTCTGTCTGACTCTTATTGATAAGCGTCTTTCATCATTTTTTTCTTTCTATTTCGACAACACTCTCGAAAGTTCGTTTTATTTCTACTATATATATATATATTAAACGCGTAAAACTTTTATTTCATTTTACATAATAAAACAAGATGAGTCTTTTTTCAATATTTCACAACGATCCATTTTTTTCGGGTATTGATCTACCATCACGATATGATAATCATAATCGTCAATTAACTCAACGTCAACGAAATGATGATCAAGATTTGGCACTTTCTGATAATTCATTTGGATTAATGCAAAATATGATAAATCAAATAGAACCACGAATGTATAGTAATGATTTAAGTGGTCGAAATGCTCATGGTGTTTCATTCAGTTCATCAACAATTATGAGTATGGATAATCGAAATGCAGGACAACCAAGAATTATTCAAGCAGCTTCAGAACAAATACGTGGACCTGATGGTAAAGAATAAATTTGATATGTTTGTAAGTTAATAAAATTTTTAATATTTCAGGTCTTGAACGAACACGTAAAGCCGTTCGTGATACAGGACGAAATTTAGAAAAAATGGAGATTGCACATCGACTTGGTGAACGTGGTCATCGAATCATAAAAGAACGAAATCCATCAACTGGACAATTAGTGGAAAATCGTGAATTTGAACATATTGATGATGAAAATGAATTTGAACGTGAATGGTTTACTCGAGCTGAACGATATGGTTTGAAAAATTCTAATGGAAATCGTTTTACTTCATATACAAATAATTTATTAATGACACCACCATCAAATGGACGTCTTCGATCACAATCTCAAGGACCAAGACATTTAGCTATTGAACAAACACGTCCAGATGATACTCGTAGACAACAACGCAGAGATTAATATATGCATATAATTTTTTTTTGTTTTTTAAAAACTGAATCTTGATTAATAAAGAAACTGTTGTACATAAATCAAATGTTTTTCTTGTATTTGAAGTAACAAACGAGTCGTTATATAGAACTCAATGCATTTCTTTTATCTTGCTTTCAGACTTCTAAGCTATCAATTTGCTTGTTATTGCACAAAATAATACTAGTTATAAGTCATTACCAGTAACATCAAACAAGCATATCACTGAGAATGAAATTTCAATTATTCTTTTTTTTTGTTACAGAAAATGTTAAATAAAATTATTTTAGTAGATATTCACTAGTAGAGAACGTTGATTAAAGATGAAACTGATATCGCATTTGAAATATTAATAGAATAAATAATATTTCTCGCTATGTAAAATACAAGCGATAGAAATTACACGTTTTGCAAAAAATTTCATACACAATCTCGGCATACTCAATAAATAAAAAGGCGGAAGAAATATAACAATCATGTAGACTAAATAGAAATATGAGATCTACTAATATTTGATAATGAAGTAGGCGCAATAGCATAGTTTGATATAACCAGAAATTAAATAAGTAAAAATTGCATAATTATCTATGAATGATATTGTCATTGTATTAGTAATCACATATGACAACGCGGTCTTGTGAATAATTCGATTTATAAAATTCAAATATAAGTATATTGTTCGATTGTCAGAAAGAAAAAGAAAGAAAATTCCAATTTGAACTCTATGGGAAAGCTTTTGAAATAATCTGGTTTATACCAAAATCATCATGAGAAAACATGAGACTATCTATCTACAAGTCCAATTGTATTATCAGCTATAGGATATATGTCCTTCTGCAATATACAACTGATTTATCGCTTATATGTGAGTGTATCTTAAATGAAACGAAACATATGGTTTTTAGATTTAATTAGAGTACAACAGAACGCTATAATCGATATCTATAAAGCTTATCGAATGAAATTATTCGATTGCAAATTAGATTATAAAAGTAGACTAAACAATCTTAATTTCACAGGTTTAATGATCGAGAAATGCCTATCGATAATGAGATACTAAATAACAAACGAAAACAATACATTCAATCTGATAGTTGAGATAATTAATTTATAATCACTTTTTCATTATAAGAAAACTATCTATAATTATAATTCTGAGGCTCCATTATTTATCAAAGTCTAGTTCTTCACGTACATATTATTTTTTCATATGAATGAAGTTAATATAAATTGACAGTAGTATCAATTATTTCGTAGAATGACATGTTATTCTAATCTTTAATAAAAACAAAGGAAACACCGATAAATCATAGGATATTTTCGCTCTAAAACGTCTGAAAATTCACTATTTTGTTCAAATAAATTGCATTTTCTCCTGATTATCACATTTCAGTAATCATAAGATCAAGTTTTATAAACACACCATTGTCAGTTATTTAATTAAATAGAAGAATCTTTAATAGTCTACTGTGGAAAAATAAAATTGAAGAAAAATAAATAGAGAGAGACACGTGAGATGACTACTATAGCTAGGAATTTATTGTCTACGGATTATGCTGAACGTGCAGGCTGAGCGGATGGTGGTGGTGGTGGTGGTGGTGCTGTCGTTGCATTGGATTTTGATGGAACTTGATATTGTTTCATTGGTTGTGGTCCACCATACCTTAAAAATAAAATAAAAATAGATAAAATAGATAAAGAAGAAGTAATTTATACTTGTGATTAATGTATCTTGCCAATTGTGTCAATTGTGCAGCTTCATTTGCTAAATGGCAGGCAAATAAAAGTCGATTTTTTGGTTTAACTTGAAGAGCAAAGCGCATGAATAACATTGAATAAAAACATAAGGCTACAAATATAATATCCGATAAACAAAATGAAAGTAAACTGTGCATTTATTCCTTACCAACTGTCATTTTTGGACTGATAATTTCAGGATCTTTCTTCAAATCTGCTAGAGCAGCTAACGGTAAACCCCAATTTGCAACTAAAAAATAAATCAAAATTTTTCTTTTTAAATTAATTATTAAATAATAAAAAGATTTACCAGGTCCCCAAAAATGCTATATATATGAATAGAATAAAAAGTCATTAGAAGCATAACAAACTATATTTATCATATCTTACCGTGCTAAAATTGAACGAAAAATAAATATATTAATTTATAGAAAATATTTTATTTTACCTCATTAAATAATCACGCGTTTCTTTGCTCTTCAATGAAGCTAACCCACGACTTACTAACGATGCCATATTTTGCAACGATTGAATTAAATGTTGCTAGCTATCAATACGAAAATAAAAACAAACAGTGTTTATGCTGTACTTTCGTATTATGATTTGTTAGAATAGTAAACCAAGTGAATAATTACCTGTTTAACTAGTGACATCTGTTTATTAATTAAAATAAGACTATAGAATTAAACTACAAAACTGATATTGTCATTAAATCGTTCGAATAAATTAAATAGTAAAATAATTCATTATATTTTAAACTTTTTTAATCACCAATGAAATTATGTATGAATGAGTTCGTTCTTTTTCTATCTTCCTTCTTTTTTTTCTCTTTCTGTTTATTATTGTTTGGTTAGTCATGAAATATTTCGTGCTTATTAAATCATTTTTGTCTATTTAACTGCATAATTGTTAAGATTATCTTTACTTTTTTTTTTTTAGAGAAACAAAATACTCATTTGTGAATCATTTTTTTTTATTATGAATAGAAAAAGGATATAGCGACTATTATTTTTTGGTAAGATTAACTTTCTTTCTTCTATAAAAGGTTATGCAAAATAATTACATAGTAAAATCTTATTTTAAAATTCTTTATATATATGCATTTGTTATTTTGTATTATATTGAGTACGAACTCTTTTATCAACATAAAAGAGTAAGAAAGGCAGTATTCATCGATTTGATGAACGTATGAGTTCAAGATCATTTACTTTTTTGTCGTAACTCTTTAGTAATATACGTACATAGTTATTTACTGAACATCACATACCAACCACAAGAGACTGTTGACTCTCATCTCTTCTTCTTCTTCTTCTCCCACCATAACAACGGAGATGAACTTCGAGCAGTCATTCGTTTACATACTTCGATTTATATATTCTCTTTCGTATGTATATATACATATATACTGTCTAACATTACGTTGTTGTCGAGGCGTCGATAGTATTAGTGTTGTCGATAATGCATTGATTGACCTAAACTGAATGAATAGACAAAAGAGAAGGAGAGAATAACAAAAAAATAGCGTTAATAATAAAGTTCAGGTAGTGTTTAATCAAATATTATTTTCATTTTTGTTACAGATCAATGATCAATTTAATTCTTCTTTCATGCATTTTATACCAAAAAGGAAATAGAGAGTATGAAGAAGAGATTTGTTCAATTTTTCATTCGGAAATATTAAAAACTAATAAATTTTTTATCGCTCGGGTGACGTTGAAAAGAAAAAAAAAGATGAGAAGATCATAACCACCTGTCTCGAGTGTAATATTTTAAACATTAGTTCAGTTAACAAGTGCATATGATATGATCATCGTCTACTATCAATAGACCGTATAATATTTTGTTCGTTCTTATCTGTTCTTTTTCTTTTTCCCTATCTCTCATTTATTCGTTCATTTTGCTATTGCAATAGTCAAGGATTTACGAAGTATAGTTGTTGTTTTTGTTATTATTTTTGTATAATCTAATTTGTTTAATTAAATAATAGAAAATAAATTTAAATCGGTTGTCTTTTTCTATTTTATTCTCGAAAATATAGAACCGGAAAATGATAAGAGAGAAAAGAAGGAAAATGAAAGACATTTGATTGAAAGTACGAAAGAAAGCAAGAAGAAGAAGAAAAGAAGAAAAGACTGACACATATATAAGTAATACAGTTCATTTGACCTGAATCTGGCCGACGAGAAGAACGTTGTATTTATAGCACAATGTGACTTTAGAAATAAATAAGAAATACGTTTTTTTCTTCTATTTCTTTCGTAGTTTTATTATTAGCGACGTAATAGATCCTAAGAAATAGTTGCTTGTTTTAATTTAACTCTATCGAAATAAGAATATGGAGAAAAAAATACCCACATCTGCTTGTTTCTTGTCATTTATTGAATAACATATGTTGTTTTAGTTATAATGATAGTACTTGTGAATCTCTGTTGTGCAAGTATTCTTCTCTCTTTTTCAATTGCATGTCACATGCTATAAATGTTTTTTTGTTTTTTATGAGTATAATAAAAAAAACCCTTCTTTGAGCTTACAACATTTATCAAGAGATTAAATATAAAGATTTTTCTTTAATATAATGTTTTGATAATCTATCTGACACATACATTTCTTTTATTTCAGATTTTCTTTTTCATATTAATTTTCATTTTCTATTTAAAATCTATTTATTATTCCATTATGGATACCGGGAGTGGTGATAAATCAAATGCTGACAATGATCTCTATTTACCACAAACTGACTCATTTTGGGAAGTATGTATAAAAAAAATATTCTTATGTAATCTAATATATATATGATTCATAGATTGGTAAATTTAATCGAGCTGTGAAACGTTGTGACGATGGAAATAAATTAACAACTGATCTTGTTAGTATGATAGGTGAACGTGCTGAACTTGAAAAAGCATTTTCAAAAATGCTTAAAAGTTGGTCAAAAAAATGGTCTGAATATGTTGCGAAATGTAAGAAGAAGAAAAAATACCTTTCAATATGATAATTATTATTATAACTTCTTTATTTTTTAGCATCTGAATTTGGTTCGATGACATCAGCTTGGAAAGCAATTATGGGCGAAGCTGATGCATCAGCTGAAGTTCATCAAACTGTTCATGATGAATTACAAAATGATGTTATACCTGCAATAAAATCATGGCAAAAAGCTAAATATGTTAAATCAATGATGCATATCAAAACAACAAAAGATTTTGATGAAGAATTTAAACGAGTTTGTATTTATATTAAATTTTTTAATGGAGAAAAAATAATATATTATTTTTAAGGCACAAAAACCATGGGCGAAATTATATGTTAAAGTTGATAAATATAAACGTGAATATCATACAGCAACAAAAGCTCTTAAAATGGCTGAAACACAAGAAAATAATGCTAAACTTGATGGTTCTATTCCACAAGAACAAGTAAATAATAATAATAATAATATTGAACGAAAATAAATCTTCTTTTTCTTTATTATTAGCGTACTAAAGTCGTAGAAAAAGTTGAACGAAGTCGTAAAGAAAAAGAAGTTGCTAAAAGTAAATATACTGAAGCTCTTCAAGAGCTTAATCGAGCTAATCCAAAATATATGGATGATATGAACGAGGTAATTATAAATTATTAAAAATGATTTTCCTATTAATTTATTATAATTAAGGTCTTTACCCGGTGTCAAACATTTGAAAAAGATCGTCTTGTGAAATTTCGAGAGTTCTTGGGTGCAACTGAAAAATGTCTCGATCTCAGCAGTAGACTACAGTAAGTTAATTAAATCTATAATTACATTTAGTCCGAAGTGATTTCTTTGTGAGTTAACTTGACATGACTTCGATTATGTCATCCATGTGTGGGTGTGGTGTCTATGAATATGTAGATAAAAATAAATGGTTATTTGCATGTATCTAAATCTAATTTATAGTAAATGAAAATTGAAACTTATTTAAAAGTCATGCTATTAGAAAAAAAATGTCATATTGCTTGATTGAATAGATTATTTCAAACTTGATTTTTTTTAGAACACCAATTTTTCAACAATTCCCTCAAACAATTAAAGCTAGCGATCCGGATAGAGATTTAACATGGTGGTCGGATACTTATGGTGCGACAATGAAAATGAATTGGCCAATATTTGAGGTATTTTATTCCTTTTTGTTTCTATTTTGTTGATTGATTTCATAAATCTATCAATGCTTCTTCTTGATTTTTTTACAAGCTTGCAAATGCTTTTTCTTTCTCTTGCTTTGTACTATTTCGATTATTACCCTTACCACCTCTTAGGAGCCAACAAATATAGTTAATCATCTTCATCAACAACTACCACTGCAACAACAACAACCACAACAACCAACACAACATAATCGTTATTCATATTCTGGTGATTTGTCATTAGGTCATGATTCATGTCATCGTCGTCCATTAGCACATTTTGTTAGTCAAACAAGTGCTGCTGTTTTAGTTGTCGATTCCTATGCAACTCTTCGTCGTTCGATGCGACGAACAGCAGCTGTTGTTACACGTGTTCGTCGAGATCTTGCCAAGCGTGAAGTAGATTATCACATATCTATATATATTAGGCTCCCACTATTAGAAAATAAAAAACAAACAAACTTATATTTTGGTTTCTTTGCTGCATATGTATACATACTGACCATACATATCTATATCTATATATTTTCTTCTCTTTTTACATTGGGTATATATGTATTATTTTTTCTATCCTTTCATTTGCTTGGCTCTTTTTTTGCTAACCATCAGTAATAAGTTTTTTTGGAAAGAAAAAAATATTTCAATAATATCTTTCTATTATAGGAATATTCTGATGCACAACGTACACTTTCTCGTCGCGGTAAAGCCGATATTGAACGAGAAAATCCAGTAGTTGTTACTGCTATTCGTTCAAGTCATAATGGACCACCAGGTGGTGCTCCATCATCATCTGATCATCGTCTATCAACTAGGTAAGAAATTAATATTAGTTTCATCTTCTTTTGTTTTTAGGAAATATTTCATAGTACAAAACTATTTTTCTATTTTTCTCTGTCAGTAATTCAGCATTTAATGAAGAGAATGATTCAATATCAGTACCAATTTCTACTGATACATGGATCACATCAGAGTGGGTTTTAGTCGTTTATATGAATATATATTTTTTTATTGTTATGTCCTGTTCATGATTTATATATCCTATGCTTTTGTATAGTTATGTAAATCAATCGCCAGTACCACCAATACGGACTACACAGTCATCTGTTTATCCTAAATTGGATACAAGTAATGCAAGCAATTCGAATCCTTTCGATGAAAGCGATGATGATGATGATGATGATGATAATCATGATAAAGAAAAATCGACGACTAACCGGTAGAGAGATAAACAAATTGAAGCTTCATTTTTCTTGCTCTTTTTTGTGTGTACGAAATGAACATGAGAATGCATATATATATATGTCAGTTTAACATGCTTATATTCTTTGCACGGCACATTGAGATTTAAAATATTGTTGTGGTGATACGCACTTGTTTATAAAAAACACTTTCTTTATTGAATATTTTTTATATTTTATACTATTATTTTTAGTTCAAGTTATGGAGGAGGAACAAGTAATGGTGGTTTTTCAACTGTACCACCCTATCCAGCTAATAATGTTCAATCCGCATATCCAGCATCGGCGAATCCATTCTTAGAAGATGATGATAATATTGATTCATTATCACCAGCTCATCATCCTTCTCATCAATCACCAACATCAATAGGAGGTTCCTCTCTTGATAGTAGTGCCGGTGTACCTGTACGAGCTCTTTATGATTATGAAGCACAAGAACAAGATGAATTATCATTTAAACAAGGTAAATTATTTGTTTTAATTTGTTTTTATATTAATTTTTTGTTTAGGTGATATTTTTACTAAATTAGAAGATGAAGATGATCAAGGATGGTGTAAAGGACGTGTTAATGGTCGCACAGGTCTTTATCCAGCTACTTATGTCGAAAGTGTTTAAGAACATATGATCTCATACAAACAAAAATATCATGTGGAACAGTAGTACTATTCAAAATAACAATTACTTGTGTGTACTTTGAACATATACCTTGTTGTGTTTCTGTGTGCCTTCTTTTTTTTTAAAAAAATTTCTAGTTGACATCGAAAATTAATTGTATAGCAAAACAAACAAAGAAACAAAAAAGTTTCCTTTTTATTACCTTCTTGTTATTTATTGTTATAAGACGTTGTATAGATATTTTATCCGCTGTTCTTTGTGTTCTCTTTGTTAGCTGGTATACAGAAAAAAATAATAAGATTACTAGCTTTCTTACAAATATTTTCCCATTCGTTAAAAACTATAGTTTTTCTTTTGCCATTTTAAGTTTGTTCACTTTTTTTTTCTTTTTTTTGCTTCTTTACTATCTTATGTTTGCTTAGTCTCGCCTGTCATTTTGCATATTTAAAAAAAATGAATAAGTTAACAAATGCAAAAAATGTTCTTATGAGAAAAAAAAATTTTTACGAGAATAATGATTTGATCTATGAGATATTATACTTTAGATTTAAACGAATATACATAAAAAAAAAGAAATGGTAGATAATTCAGGTACGAAAGTAAGTCAATTATGTGTTGTAGCATTGATTGGTAAAAGTACTTTATTTGAACAACAATGTAATAAATCTTGGAAATTAAATCAAGTTATACAAACACCTGCATTTAAAGAACATTCTATTAATAATAATGAAGATGATTTTGAACATTATTATGATCATATAAATAATACGATATATATTCATCTTCGATCATTTCATGATACATATCAATTACTTCATTTAATTGATAATATGAATGATGATACATCAATGCAAAATTTTGCTCAACTATGGGAAAATAAACAAGCGAATTTTATTAAAAAATGCCTGATTTGTTTTCTTCTCTCACATATTATTATTGTAAGATAAGAAATTAGTATAGTACATTTAATAAATTCTCTTCTTTTTTTTCGTATAGATTTCTCATTCATCACATACATTTGATTTGAATTATTTACGTTTTTTTCGTATTATTGAACTTTTACGTCATAAAAGTAAACCAGCTATATTAGATGCAATTCGTTCATTGAATTTATTAAAAGAAGCAGATTTTAATCTAACTGATGGACGTCTTTGTGTACCACGTGCATTATTTATATTTGAAAATCATCATCATAAAGGCAATGATGCACTTAATGGTAATGATCGGGATGATGATCAAAAATTGATAAATATGGCGCATAATTTAGAAGATACAATTTTTAATGCTTTAAGATATTCTTATATTATTTCTAATCAAACGTAAGATGTTATATTAGACTTAAAGAGATAATCTAAACGATTTATCTAATTCTTCAGTAGTTTTTCCTTAGTAGCTAAAATGAGAACTATTACAACGGACTATATATATTATGAATATAGAAATATTTCTTATCTTTTATAGTAATTCAGCATTATTTACAATTGCACATAAACAACCATTTGTATTTATTCATCGCTGCTACAAAGAATCTTCATCATTAGGACAAACACAAAAATTACTCGGAATTTTACAAGGTTTTGTTAAACAAACCAAAGAATCTTGTTAGTAAAATAAATATAACTTTATTATTATTATTTTTTTGAATCTGTATCTTATAGCAAGTAGTTCAAATCTCAATCGTTCAAATTTTCATCAACAAGATGATGCGCATGCTTTTAAACGTTTTTTATTTCGTCATATTGAAGATGCATTAACGGGTGGTTGGTCAAATGATGGTATATCTGGTGGTGCACGTAGTGAAACATCATCATTTGAATTATGTACATATCCAGTATGGATACGTTTATTTAATTCTATACGTGAATTATTTGAAACAACATCAGCACCAACAAATAAAATTATGCGACAAGCATTTGGTATGCTAAGAGCTAATGTTGATCCTGATGGAAAATTAAGTGAAACACGATGTAAAAAATATTTACCATTAGCAATTAGTTATTATGAAGAAGGTCTACCGGCAAGATATACACAACATTTTCATGAACAACGAGTTCGTACAGCAAAATCGAATTACTTTTTATTTTTTCAAATTTTATTTTTTTTTGTTAGTTACAAGCAACAATTGAATATTTTGCAACATATGCACGTGGTTCAAGTTATAAACGTTATGTACAACAACTTATTGAGCAATGTACACAGTTATGGCATGACGGACGACAATTATGTGAAGCAACTAGTTTAACAGGCAATTCCTGTAAAAATGAAGTATGAAAAACGATTTTATTAATTTACCGATAAATAATATCGAGCGTCTTTCTGCCAGATAAAGTATTTATATATTTGTCAAGAAAATTTTCATTGGTTATATAAACGAACAAATTGGCGTAGCTGAACCCTTCACTTTTAAACCGACTCACTAGGAATAAAAGTGAATCGAATTTTTTTGATTTAGTTTCAATTGGAGCTAATAAAAAGTAGTTAGTGAAAATTGAGGGTTATAATGAAAACAGTAAAGCGATAGGTGAATCTTTTACGTCGTTATCCAACTTTGAATATTTCTGATATGGGCTGAGAATTCACATCTCTAATGCATTTGATTGTGTTACTATTTTTAAGTTGAATTAACTGTTCTTGTTAAAAGTGACCCATTGATTTCGTTATCAATAGATTATATTAAATACAGAGATCATCCATGACAGATAATTAATTAATTCTATTTTATTATTTAGCTACATCGTGTGCCTGGTGAAGAAGATTCAACAGATGCTTCGAATTCTGCACATCTACCCACACGAGCACATAATAGCAAAGTATGAAATAAATAGTAGATTTTTTGTTCTAGTTTATTCTTAATTCATTTAATTAAAGATTCAATTAATGGCAGCTAGTAATTGTGGTCAGATTTTACAAGAACGTGAAGATCCATTTGATTTAAAAGTAAATTTATAGTATTTCTTAAATAAATCAAAGTAATTTAAAATGTATTTTCTTTTTCTTTTCCATCAGGAAGCGAATTATGAATTTTATCAAGGTGTTAATAAGATGTTATCAATAAAACCGATTTATTTTGAATTTCCAATTTTTCGTGGAAATGCTACATCTGTCGAAGTTGTTCGAGCTGGTTTGAAAAAGAATATTTTCATTAGTTCTATATATTTTTCTATCTCTATATAGGTAGTAAACAAAAAAGTGAAATAAAACTTTCTAATCCTGTCACTGATCTCAGTGGTGCATCTGAACTTAGTAAATATTTATTTATTTTTATACGATACGATCTAATTTTATATAATAGGTCAATCAAAATCAGTTGCACTTTATTCACTTGTACCTAATGAAGAAGGACAAGCATTAGATAATATAACTGGTGAAAAAACAGATACAAATAAAATAGTTACATGTACTGATGATGTACAACCTATTCCAAGTACAACTGAATATCTTGATGGCATGTCACATTCAGATAGTCAACCAGGATTATTACCTCGATTTAGTTCTTGGAGTTTATGTTGTATTGGTCGAGCATCAGATTATGTACCAACGAAAGGTAATTTAAAAATAAAATACGGATTAATACAGTTTTTAAAATATGACTATTTTATTTTAGGACTTCAACAACCTGGTTTTTTGACTAATTTAAATCATTTAATACCATGGGATATAAATCCACATAATAATCAAGCAACAACAAATAATGCTGGCGGTGGTGGTGGTGCACAATATCATCAACAACGTACAACAGCTACTCGAAGTTATAAAAACAATCGACGAGGTTTATTTTCTATAAGACTTATTTTTTATTTTATTTTTATAAAATTTCAGGTGCAACTAGTTCATCTATATGGGATGTTACCGTTCGTGTTTATATTGGTTGCGAATATGAATGTCCTCGTGGTCATAGATTTCTTTGTTCATCACCTAATCATGTTATTCGTGTTGGTCAAAATGGAATTGTTAAAGTTTGTTTGAAATAATCAAATTGATTAAAATAATAATTTGTTTCCTTCTTAGGATGATGGTGCAAAACTAGTTCGATCTGATATGCCATTATATACTCCATGTTCCTGTCGAATATCATCAACGGGTGCACGTGTATGGGCACAATTAATGCGCGCCTATGTCGTAACACCTTCTTCACCACCAATACAATGTGTACTTCATCCACAAGTTGTACCAGCTGGTCCAAATAGTCCAACATTTTTTCCAAGTTATACTCAACCTATTCATCTAACAGATGATTCTATATGGGTATTACGTTTTCCGTATGTGATCTTCTATTAATTTTTTCGAAAATTGAATAAATTTTTTTTTCTTCATCTAATTTAGATTTATTTATCATGACGGTGAAAAACCTCTATATCGACCACAAAATGAGGAAGATATAAGTCAATGTCTTGTTTTACGTGATCTTTTTTCATGGACAAATAAATCTTGATATTAAATTTTGTAGAAAAAGAAAAATATATGTTAATTTTAGTAATTGTTTTTATTTTTATTTCTTACAGATATAAAATTATAATAGCAAACATGCCACAAGGTAAAACAAAAAATAAACAATTACCAGCAAATATGAAAAAGAAAACAACAAATAAAGTTAATCCTGGTAAAATATCAAAAACTGTCATGCATAAAAAGAAGAAAAATATAGGTGGTAATGGAAAAACCGGACTTAAAGCTGTACAAGAACGTTTAACAACACAAATTGCTAAAAATATTGAACAAGAATGTGCCAGCAAAGTTAAATCAAATGAAGGAAAATCATTATTAATTGTTAATGCTAACTGATTATGTTTTGTAATTGTTTGTATTGAAAAATTAACAATAAAATAAAAGATACCAAAACGAGAAGAAACTCATCATTTTTTATTGAAACAAAATTTAGTCATTACATTTTCTGATAGTTCAAAAATCAATTTGTTTTTATAGAAAATTATTTCTAGCATTCATTGTTATAGAGAAATAGAGAGCTGTAGTTACTTTGAGATTCAATATCAGGTTCTACGTGTGCTTAACAGAGGCTATTATTCTATTCGGTGAATATATATTCGATTTTTTTCTATATTAAATTAATTAGAATTTTGCCACGTCATTATACATTTGTTGTCCTTTGTGTATTTTATAAATAAATAAAAATAATCATATGCATAAAATTGCCAGCTGGTGGCAAGACTATTTAAAAGACGCCGAATGGATATTTCTAGTTCTTTTTTGAATATATCATGTTACTGTTAACATTTTTTTTGATACAATCAAACATCATATGGATATCTCCTGTCGATGGAAATATTCCTTTTCCAAAAGATATGAATATACATGTTCTATTTCCACCTATTATTCAAACTCATGAATCTATTCCTCTTGGTCATCTTCGTCCATTAGGTTGGCAACGTCGTGCTGACGGACCAATATTAGAAGATTCACTTAATATAGAACCAGCACGTTTCTACCATTTATTTGTTCAAGGAAATCGATCAGTAGTTATACGTGGTATTGTTTCAGCATTAGATGTTTTATGGACAGATAGTTATTTATCGAAACGTTATGGTCACTTAAATGTTACTGTTGCTAAACGAAAACAACGTCTTGTTGATACATTAACAATGATGCCATTTAAAACATTTCTTGAACAATATAGACAAGATGATTTATATATGAATACAATTATACCTGATGAAATGAAATTTGAAGCATCATTACCATCACTTATTACGTGTGGAATATTTAGTAAACGTCTATTAGAACCTATTCTATGGATAAGTGCAGGTGATACAGCATCACTTCTATATGCACATGCACAAAATACATTACATTGTGTATTAGATGGTCGAAAAGATTTTATTATTTATGATACTTCAAATAAATATCCACATGAACTTGATCTTGTAAAACAATCAAATGGAGATTTATTTTCTCGTATTGATGTTGATTTAGTTAATACATATAAGCATAAATATCTACATAGTTTACCATGGTATTGGACTACATTATATGACGGTGATTGTTTATTTATTCCAGCTTATAAATTTTTTCAAGTACGTGCACATGGTCGAACAATTGCTTTATCTATTGATATGGCACCGCCAGATATTCGAAATGATTTTATTGGACTTGATTGTGAAAGAAATCCACCTATTTATATTTCTTTAGATAAAGGACAATTTCAATGGAGATATGAACATGGTGTTCGGCATTTAACCAAACGAATAATAACTTCTGATGATGCACGTACCTATTTACTTCTTTTACTTGGTGCAAATGATCAATTACATAAGGATATATTTCAAAATTTTTACATTCAAGCAACACATGAATTAGCAAGTAAAGATCTAGGATTGCCAACAGCAAATCATATATGGAAACAATTAAATAATGATACAACTAATGAAGATTATATGACTCGTAATCAAATAACAAGTTTACCATCAAATGTTTTACAATTATTAGGTGATGTACTTCAAAAAAGTGCTCGAATTCATGAATATGAAAAATCAGAACTTTAATGTGACTGCTTTTCTTTTTTTTTCTTATGCAATAAAAATGCTTGAATAGATGGTGTTGGTACTAACATAACTCGCTTGTAACTATCAAAAGATCTACATAATAGAATAGAATATGATACAATAGTTTGGTTATCATATATAAGACTGAATTATATCGAAAAACTAAACTACAAACTTCAAAATATTTCATAATCCAAAGCAAATATATGACTGACTCTTGCCGACAATGAAATTTCACATAAAAGTATTTCATAAAATAATTAAGTGAAATCTTTGAAGGTTGCTTTTGTAGATCCAGGTGGTTATATTTAATATAGTATTACATAGCACTTTTAAAAAAAACTGTCTATGTAGAATCGTAGCTTGTGTCAGATTTATGAACAACGTATAAAGACAAAATATGTGTTTAAATAAAATTGTACTATTTAGATTTATCTTCTTTATTTCAAAAGCTATTAAAATAAGTGGGACATTAGGAAAGTATATCGAAATACTTCGAAAAAAAAACTAATTCGTTTTTTGTAATGATGAAAATAAGATTTAAAATACTCAAATTTCGTCTACTCAAGTATTTATCCTTGAAACTCATAAATGATTTTTACTCAATAATTGTATATTTAATCTTCGAAAAGCTATCGTAAATAGAATATTCTATTTCTTCTCGAAGAATTTAATCGAAAAGAAAAAGATTAAAAAGTAATCATTTTATTTAGTATATATATTCACAGATTGTATTCACAGTCATTTTATTCAATTTAAAAATGAGATATTCACTCTGCATTGTATTCCTTCTTATTGGTGTTTCACATAGTTTATTTGGTCCTATTGGGCAAGTTATAAGCAATGCTGGTAAACCAATAAACTCTATTACAAATGAAGTTAGCAATTCCGTGAATGCTGCTACTAATGAAGTTAGTAATACGGTGAATTCTGCTACAAATCATATTAATCATATCAGTCAAGCAGTTGACAAATTCTTGAAAGATCTTCAAGCTCATATCAGTAATCTCATTCGTGATATATTAATGAAGGCAAATGAATTACAATCTGCTGCTGATTCTCTTTGGGATAATGTATTCAGTCCAGTTTTCGATATGTTAACTACAGGTATAGTTATATTTTTAAAACTGTTTCCAAGATAGTTATATCTGATTTTTTTGTTTCATAGGTGGACAATCATTACTCAGTGATAAATTTGGTGCTATTTTTAGTATTATTGGTCGTCCTATTGGAGTACCAGAAAATGCTCTTTCAGAAAAATATGTTCAATTACTTGCTCGTTTGAAATCAAACATACATCATTTATATGAACAATTATTTTTAATGGAAAAAGAAGCTTTAGTAGCTTTAGGAAACGGTGACCATAATGTTGAAGAAAGAATTCGTGCATTCTATGATAAAATTGATGCTATTCATAAACAAATAAATGAATGGGCATTGGAAACAAAAAATGAATTAGAATTACATGCGCAAATTGTCGGAGGTGATTGGGTTAATATTCTTAATCAATACAGTCAAAATATTGATTTAAGTGTTAAAACAATCGGTACTTTATTTCAACAATTAACACATACTTTAATGAAAAATATTCTTGAAGTTGTTCTTACTGTTGTTCCAAATGCCATTAATATTATTCAAAACTTGAAAGAACAAGATTTACTTTCATTTTTTCATCTTTAAATAATAATAATAAAATAAACAACAGTAGTCTTACAAATTTAAATAAATAATCTTTGATTTGCCTACATTAGAATGTAGCGAACAACTTGCATTCTGCAGATTTTTACTCCCTCTTAAATTTTTCAGAGAGAAAACTATGATAAAAGAAGATAATTAGTTTTATGAAATCATAACAAAAAAAGTATGATATTTTTATAATTTTTGAGAAGTTTGTTGAGTCAAACGTTAATTCTGGAGTTCTCTTCAGTATATTTATATAGAGTGCATATATGACCTAGACATATAATAGATCTAATTATAGTTCTATAATGAAAAAAAAATGAAAAGCAATTTTTTGTTTCTTTATTTTTGGTTAATCTATTGAAAATGTGAAAAGCCTATGTTGATGGATGTCACGGAAATATTCTGCTTCCGACCAATTAAAACAATGATTATAATTAAAAGAAAAGCTTACATATATATATATAATAACAATCTATAAACTATGTTGCAGTTTTTTTTCGAAACTTCTTTATAGACTTCTAGGTTTCAGCAATATTAATCATGTGGAATGTTTCAATTAAGGTATAGAAAACTCTGTATTTATTATACTTCGCGTATAATGAAAACAAATACAGTGCGCTACAGAAGATGAGCAATGTTTCTTGCGAATCTAGATAGATATTTACTTATTCTATTATTTTCGCAGATAACATCGACGAGCTTACGTAGAAGTGTAACGAATTAGTACTAGTGATGACGGAATAATTAACTATAAAATTCTTTTTTATCTTTATCAGAAGTATATTTCTACATATACTACCCATCTTTATGCGATGTATGATATAATCATAGATATGAAATCGAGTCCATCAAGATGAAATGTTAAAATTTAGAACATTCCACGTTTTTGATAGATTTCAATGTAAGTTCAAGTACGTATAAACCATATATGATTGCCAAAAGAAATAACAAGACATTATTTATTTTTGTAGGTTATTTATTATTGTTTTCTTAGTAGTTCATTTACTGCCATTTTATTTGTTTAAACAAAATTAACATATATAATGAAAATATTCAGCATAATCTTAATTAACAAGTGGGAGGATTGAAAATATTGTTAACTGGCAAAAATCAATATTATTCCACTCTTTAGAAAAACAATGAAAAAAAAGCATTAGTAACTAATCATCATAGATCTGCATCTTTACTGAGTATAAGGTAGTGTATTATAATAAATTTTCAAATTATATTCAAAAGATATTACAGGAAAATCGATGTAGTAAGATTTTTTTCTCTCCTAAATCATACATAGTCAATTCAGTTAATAAATCTTTTTATTGTATATGACAATAACAAAATATAGATGCACTTGTTTTCTCTACCACACAGAATCAATCTATTTAGGGATTGATGGTTATCGAGGTTAAATGAGCACTAACACATGCTACATTTACTTTTCATTGTAGTGTTCAAATAATGAATTAAGTGGCTTTTATGTTTTATGGAAAAGGTCGCCTTGATCGGATACTTTTGTTTGATATTTAACGTAGAATAGAAAAACAATAGGGAGTATGAATAAACAATGCTGTGTGTACATAAAAGGATATTTGAGTCTGAGGAGAACTAGATTCTATTTTTCTTTTTAGAATATAATAAAACCAAAAAACTATCAATCACCATTCCATTTTTTTTGTCTTTTCAATTGAATCATTCCGATGATAGACTTTTGATAGTATTTTCTTTGTTTCCCTTTCTAATTGAATCGCTTTAACTGTTACTTTTCAAAGTCTCAAGCTAATTCTTCATATTATTGCAAAAATTTCGAAAAGGTCTGTCATCGTTACAATTATATAATTATTATATATTACATTCCATCGGGAAATTAATATAGAAAGTTTTCTTTTCAAAATAGAATACTATAATAGTTAAGTGCTAATGTTTTTCTTCCTTTTTGTACTGACATTTATTGTATCAGCTTGAATGGACGCGCTCACTAATAGATATTTATATGCTTGTGTCAAGTGTTGCTTTATTCATCTTATGTTAAGAATTGACAGCAATAAGAATACATATAGTCACTTAGACTATTGATAGATTTTAAAGCAAAATTTATTTTTATCAAAAATTGTCGAGTTTAGCACGTGTTACGATATACTTATAATTAATGAGAATGTTTTCATTGCGAATAGCTGTATTGCTTTTTAATATGGAGACGTGTTAAAATATGTCTATATGAAAATAAAAATTTTCATAGTAACTATATTTAGATGTACCAAATATAAAAAACACGTATATGCACGTGCTCTTATTGTATAGACTATGTCTATAGATATTTGATGATAAAATATTGATTATTATTGTTGAAAATGGAAGAAATATTTATTAATCGTAGAATTTTTAGAGATGGAATACAAAAATAATCTTTATAGACAGTCTATTGTTTTTTCTCGTTGGGATTCGTTCAGTGTAATATATATACATGTAAGTCCTCATTAAAGTGCGCGTAGGAGTTTATTATATGAAATCTTTTTAAATTGAAAAACTAAAAGATAAAAATAGAAGAGATTATGAAGTTAAAAGTATCGTTAAAAGCTAGTTGTTATCGTTAAGAGATGCACTCATTACAATCCCGAATGATAGACAGTGTATGTTCTTTATATTTTCCATTGAAATGATGGCTCTTTCCGTATTTGAATAAACATCCTTTTTTTTTGTAATCAATTATAATTCTAGGATTGTGAATTATAAATGTCAGCTAATGTAGACAACTTCCATTAGTTGTGAAACAAGAGATTCTAGAATTCAATAGATGATAATTTCTATTACGAATATTTGTAACTAATTATTTGACACTAGCTATAAATATTATTGCTCTAAATATTGTTAATGAGAATTTGAGTCGAAGTAGATTAAAGTGAAAGAGCAAAAAAACCTGATTAAATTTTGTAAAAAAAAGATAATTTGTTTTCATAATGTTATTTAAGCTCATAAGTATAATATTACTTAAAGTAATCGGATATATGAAGTAAAAGCTTGTTGTGACAAGTCAAAAATCATGTCTATATAATGTGTTTATGTCTGCAGAAATAATAGTTTACTTCATATGCATTACAAACTTAATATGAATTGTAGAAAAAATAATTGACATTTTTTATTGTGATTATTTATTCATTGAGTGTTATGACAACTTGATTATAAAATTTGTAAGTATTTTATTACTCAATCTGTGATGGTAATCATCGATCTTCTCTGTTTTTTTTTAATAATAAAGAAGTTTTATTCATCGATCAATACATTAGAATTAGGAAATACACATGGGAACTTTTCATCATCGACATAATTTTCTTTTATTAGTTTATAAATCAAAATATATTTGGTAAACATTTATCTGTTTTCTTTTCAATCTACGAACATAACAGCTGTTATTTATGACATAAACAATTACGATGAAATATTTGTTGTTTACTACGAAAGTTATTTTTCTCTCTTGAGAGAACTTAAAGGTATGATTTTTCTAACTGCAATTTATCGATTTATTCAGATGTTAGTAATAATGTAACAAAAAGAAAATGTAGGTGTGTATATTGAGACAAGTTCAATGACATAGATAGGTAAGGAAAGGCGTGAAAATGTTAGTTGTTGATTATTATCTTGTCATCATGGATTGATGAATTTTAGCGGTAAAATTTAAAATTCTATGGCAAGTCCTAGATCAACCGAGTACAAAAAGAATAATAACAAAACTTTATGCTGGTATGTAAAAACAATGTTTTATTGTGAAGTGTCTATGTATTAGATATTCTCTCTCTATTTGAATATTGTTTTTTTTATAATTCGTTTAGTTTCTTTTAGAGAGGTAAGTATCATTGAAAAACAACAAGAACTAATAGAATGAAGAGAAGTCGTGACAAAAGATATATAATCAAGAATAGACAGAAAAGAGAACAAGTAATCTTATAATAAAGAAAAAACGAGAGCAAAAGAAGAAAAGAAATTGATGCAACTACTTTCTCGATATATTTGTGTGTATGTGATTACAATCCATCCGTTGTCTTCATTAAATATTGCAATATTTTTCTGTCATATTCATGTAATATTTTTTTCTCTCGTTCACTCTACTTTTTGACATACTTAGTCAACCTCGATCATGATTTTGATAAAATCTATAATGTATTCTACCTCAATTGTAAAATACATTGTAGGGGATAAACTTAAAAGAAGAAAATGTTAAGTAAAGGAAACCGATGAACGGAAATAACAAAAAAAAAGAAAGTTATGTCATGTCACTCTAGACATTCCATTGTTTGATTTTTTCTTTTTCAGTTAAACATTTATATTTTCTCAATCATTTGTCCAAAAGATTTTCAACGATAAGTACTCATTTAATTAATACAAGTAAAGTAAGTCACATTTTGTTTTCATACAAATCGTTAAAATGTTTCCATGATTTCTGGTTTTTTTTCTTTTTCTCTTAAATGTCATTCAATAATCAATAGAAATTGCACTAAATTAGCAAATAATGTTGATACAGATGAGTGATATTATTATCCTACCCTTTTTAAATCTACGATATTCACGTAGGTTAAGTACGTAACAGATCTTTTATTAGCAGCTGTTGTTATTACTTTCATCTACGATATATTTCACTAAGATGATGATTGATACCGATCTTTCTCTCTTTGTTCTTGAATTACAACCATATTTATAAGGTTTCCCACGTAGATACATAAATATGAAAGAACATATGTATCGTAAAGTCATTTTTAGCTATTATTCCTGATGCAGAATGTTTAAAAAGGCTTCATCTTGATTTACATAAAACTAGTCATCGTATTAAAAGATGACTTATAAAGATCCAATTACACTAGTAGAAAAAAAGATCATCGTAATTTTTCTAAGATTTTCGTAGATACTAATTTGTCCTCGGTAAGTATAGTATTCAAATTATATATAAAGGTTTCTTTCTAGAAGATTATTTCATAATATTTACGCACTTTTTGTCGTTTATATGATGCGCTTCGTTGAGTCTAGTTTTTTCTATGCTTGAACAAACTATAGTATATTCAAATGAGTGTGAATATTTAATATACACGTATAAGACTTTTGTAAGAATATATGAATAAGAGGATAGACAATAACAACAACAGTGAACTAGCTTCTTACTGTGTTGTATTGATAAAGATAATGGTGACGATGATGATAATGTTCTTCTACTGGTTTTTTTTTCCGTTACATTAGTTGAAAACAGTTTGTTTCCTTTTTGCACATTATTGTTTCTGTTTTTCCTATTTTCTCTTTATAGTCAAACTTTAGATAGGAGATTTTATAAGAATGACAACAGAGACTAAGACATGTTCAAGCTGAAAATTACGATAAAGAATAAAAAAAACGCTCTAAACATCACTTGAACGTGCATCCGCTTTTCTCTCTCTCTCTATCTCTTTATCGTAAATGTGACTTTCTATCTATCAAAGTTTTTCTTTTTGTCACTTGTTATTATTGACGAGCACATTGACTGATTAGAGAATATACATTCTCTTTTTTTCTTCTTCTTCTTCTTCTACCATCCGAACAAACGAGTTATGAGAAAATCAGACATTAATATAAAATATTCATGAGTACGTTTATATAAACAAAAATCACAATTCCTATCGGGTAAGTTGATAAGATCAAGTTGAATTAAGATACCTCATCTTATGTCAATTCTGATTAAGATCAATAAAATTTACATAAAGTCTTTTTCCTTTTGCAGTATTTATATGTACTTGAAATATGATCTAGAAAAAAATTAATATATATTATTGAATATGACAGTATATACAGAAATTGATCAATATCAATTTCTCTTTTTTTATTGTAAGGTGGCGAGAAAAAAAATGATATATATGCGTGATTCTATCTTTAGATATGTCCGTTATTTCAAATAACTATATTCTGCTCAGTAGAGATCTCTAATTATATTCAGTGCAACTCACGATCTAATTCTGTAATATAAAAACATGATGATTCTATCAAAGATTCAATCATTTTCTTATATGTCATCATGATAGATATTATTTGATAGAGAGAAGAAAAAAAAAGAGTACATATAGATTCCTTATGAATATCTAATCGCAAATCACAATTTTTGTTTATTTAACAATATATGTAAGAAAAATATCTTATTTTTAATTCGTAGTTAGACATAAGATTTTTGGAATTTATATAGAAAGTTTCTTTTTTTTTTCTTAGTTATTTTTTAACACATGACAAAGATTAAAATATATGATTATTGAATGCATATGAAAATCTTATTTTTCATAGCATTGACACAATAAATATTGACGTCGAAACAATAAGTACAAGTAGTTATTCTTACAATGTTTTACACAGGAAATGAAATTATTCGATGTGTACTTTATTAATTTATTAAATGTAATGCATGATGTTGAAAACTAGTTGTTCTATGTGTTTGTATGACAATTTTACACGTACGAGAAGATAAATAAGACTAAAAATTTTTTAGTAGTGATTAGAAGAAAATAAAAAAAATCTAAATCAGATTATTATCAATCAGTTTGAATGAGAGTAGGCGAATCGAGAAAAAAAAGAGTAAGAAAAATTCATTAGAGTATATTCTTATGTGTGAAACAGAAGATAAGTAATTTAATCCAATGAGTTATTTATTATATTACAGGTTACTTATGAGTTTGCCTTAATGTTACAATACACGCTAACGAACTCAAACAAGGTAAAAAAAAGATGTTTTATGTAAATAACTATTTATAATTGATGATTTTTCTTAACAAATAGTATCAATAGGAAATATATTATTTCATAATGAATTGACGTATTTACTTATTCTTTTCTATTAGGTTTAATGAAGGATTTCTCCTTGACTCAACTGAATAAGAAAAAAAACTTCTTCTAGAATTCTCTTTTGACTCTTCCTACGTATCTTATACAAATATAAGATGCTGTTATATATTTTCATTCAATAGAATTTATATAACATTACATAAAAGATATGTATCTGTAAAATTATATGTTATCTTATGCTTGATCAATTCTAGATTTACATGATGATTATATAGATTATCATAATTATGGATAACAATAATAACAGTATTACTAGTCTAAATACTACTAGTGAGACCAATGTGATTGTTTATGTATGTATTCATTTTGTGATGCCAAGTGCGGTTGCTATTGGTATTATTGGTAACCTCTTATCAATATTGGTATTTGCACGTCGTGAAATGATTAAATTTTGTGTATCTATATTTACAATTGTACTTGCACTTAGTGATATTCTTTTGTTAACAACATCGTTATTCAACATAATTTTACCTGAATTTGTTGGTGGATTATTGTCAGATAAATCAGCATTTTGGTGGTATGTAATGATAATTATAGCTTCTATTTCTAACAGGAGTTAATTAAATCTTTTGAAAAAACAGGTCAGAAAAAAGGGTTTTCTTTCTGTTCACATGAAATTAACTTCGTATTCGAAGAACACTGAGACCTTGTAATTAATGAAGTAGAAATTTTATTCAAGTTTCATTTATGTGTAATATGTAACCTTCTATAGATTTTTAAAAAAGAAGAAATATCGATTAGACTAAACTGATATTTATTATAAATATTTTTAGTCATTTTCATGGTTATTTTGATCTTCTATTTGCTGCCTTAAGTGGTTATTCAGTCGTATTTATATCAGTCGAAAGATGGTTTTCAGTATGGAAACCATTTGATAAAGCTAAATATGTTACTTTTAAAACAACATTAATAACTGTTATTACCTATACATTAATATCAAGTTTTGTTTTCTCATGGTTTCCATTAATATTACGTTATGTTCCAACATCGAACGCAGCACACACATGCGACCTTTTTAAGCCTATGATATATAAAATATTTGGAACAATATCAGTTATATATACATATATTAGTATGTTAAAACAAAAATTCAAAAAAATATAATTTAAATTCTTTTCTTTTTAGTACCATTTATTTTTCTTGGTATACTTAATATTCTTATTTGTTATCGTTTACATACTCGTCAACAAACATCAATACAACAATCATTAAAAACAGCAAATAATAAAAATCGTAATGAATCATCATCAGCATCAGCATCTGTACGTAAAAGAATACAAAGACAACGAAATACAGATCGAAATATAACAGTTATGTTAATTACAGTTGCTATTGCTTTTATGGTTATGTCATTTCCATTTCAGTAAGAACAAAATTTTGCTATATATACATATATATTTTTCTGTCTTCATAGAATTTATTGGTTTTATATGCAAATTCGTCAATTAAAGGAACCAAACGCAACTTTATTCACATTAACACAAACATTTCGCTATTTAAATTGTTGTTGTAATTTTTTTCTTTATTCCGCTACATCATCTTTATTTCGTCGTGAGTTACAACAAATATTTCAATGTTCGAATGCACTAAAATCAAAATATAAATCAACAAGTAGCAATGTAACCAATCGAACAAAAATAATTTCATCTTCAGCAGTTTTCTCAGCAAATTATGATCATATGGCAACTGATCGTAAAACTCTTCTATCAAAAGCAGCTGCTGAAAGTTTAAATAATATAAATTTAACTAATGGACATCATGTTTCATTTAAAACTAATGTATGATTACTATTATTTTTTTTTTGATGTTTTCTACTTTATGTCTGTTTAAATAAACAAATGTATAAAAATTGTTCAAAGAAAATCATTATTTATTTCTATACTTTCAAAGACAAGATGCCATATGTACCAAAGTCAAGTTTTTAACATAGAGAAGATGGGCCAAAATTTCCTCTTTCGAAATCTATAGGAGGCCATCTATAAGTCATTGAACAATCTTTGGTTGCCAATAACTTTTGATAGGGATAAGATAGATTTGCGATTGTCGCTATTGAAAAGTTATTTGACATGATTCATGTGGGGAATCATCTTGATCTTTTCAAAAACTAGTATATATCGTGGAGCACCTAAAATAAATTTTCGATAGTCAAATGTGTGCATTCGGGCTATTAATCCAAGATCTAGAAAACGATACAAGACTCACACTTGTAGATCTAACAATTAAGAAGTCACAGATATTCTACTAGACAATCCGAGTCAATTTTTCTCTTATTTTTGTTTTCAGCATTAAAAAACGCCGTTCTATATCTTGCTCCTGTCCAAAGTTATTGGCAATCTAATACTGCCTGTGACTTATGAACCATCTTGTATATATTCTTTTGCACAAATTTTCCGTAGTTTTTAAAAAGTCGTTCTGTTTAAAAAAAACTGTCCTGTTATTTTCGTTACTATTGAATGAAACATTCTTACAGACGTAAGCATGGCAAATAGTGTTGAATATTTTATCCTTTACAATAATTTGCTAACACGATTAAAAAACTTTTTTTAGTATTTTTTTAAAATTATGGCTTTGGATCAAGAAAATTAAAATTACTGCTACTCAGTTCATCATGATATACCAAGCTTTTTTTATATCTGATTTCTAAGTCGACATAAAATCATTCCGACTTCCATATCATGTTGAGTGACAAAGTAATACTGACTTTCTTTTGAAGGCCAAAATGACTTACATACTAGCTAGAATTCATACGAATAATTCATTGGTGGAAATCTTATTTTATAAGGTCTCCGTTACATGAGAAATCGTGTGAGAGATAATCTTTAACAAGAAAAATCTATATTGACAAATTTAATTCTGATGATAGATACTATTTATATGCAACATCATGAAAACAAATCATTTTTAATTTACTTCATATCGTATTTTGACATAACAAATTTCTTCTATTGCTAATCACGTACAATTCATTGAAGAGAAGATCAACAAAAGATTGGCGGTATTATATTTTTATTGCTCTTGACTGATCTATCGAATCCGTTAGTTCAACAATAAATTCAATTCATCTCATTAAAGTTTTTCAAACGACTTTATTCTATAATCTAAGAATGTTTGCGCATCACATTTTGTTCTTTCTTTATTTTAATTTTTTACGAATGGAAAATTTTTGTGTAACATCGTCTTGTAAAAGTAAAAACATTTTTCTTTACATAGAAAAAAAGTCATTGCAACATGTTCCATGTATTTTTAGTCACTATAAAAATTCAAATTTTACCATATTTTTTATAGTGAACTATAAACAAGATAGTTGAGCACTATATAAGACTCACCGTTGAATTTTATTGTTAATATTATTTAGCAAAAACAAAATCAAGTATGGATATAATCATAAGGTAATTTTGATATATAACTTCCTAATAGATATCTCTCCGTATAATATTGCTAAAAAGTATTATCAGTATTCGATATAATGAATTGAGCATTTGTAAAACATTATACGTCTATTGATCATGAACACATAGAAAACGGCAGTCAACCTAAATTCACAATTTTCTCACTAATCTCCATGAACTTACGCATGCAAATAACAATACTAACTCAAGTATTATCAAGTGACAGAAAAAGGGAAAATAAATTAATCTCATCCTGTAAACTGAAATCTCATATCACATTTGATAAGTATTTGTAAAATATATAGTATCAATAAAGACTCTTATTCATTCCTACGACTTATAGCCGATGGAAAAGATAATGACATGTTATATTTTTTTTTCGGAAAAGAAAATGATTTCTATAGGTACTTTTCTGCGCGAATGATCATATTCTATATTCTTACTCCTACTCTTTGATGTACTTTGTCATTTAAACCGATTATTGTATAAGATGTTTTCGATCTAAAGGAGAACCTTTTCAATAGTACTCTCTTGTAATACAATTATTATTTTTAAAAGGTTTATTGATCAATTTATGAGTTGTCAGTGCCGATGTACTCACAACTCATTCGAATAGCGGATATTTTACATTTTTACCTTTTAATTTATCTCAACGAATCAGTTGACTGTCGATAGATGGCACTAATTTGAAAAACCTTAAAAAAACACATGTGAGAATTTTATATTATTTTCTTAACAATGTTTTTAATTCCATGAAAAATATTTGGTATTTTTTTTTTAATCCTAACTTATTTTTCATTGGTTTTGAACATTGGCTTCCATTCATGCATTGAATGTTAGTTAGCACATTCTATTCTTTCCTAATGTTCTAAGAACAGGAGGAAAAAAAAATAATAATTGACAATATAGTAATCAAATAGTTAGTTCTATTTACGTTTCCATATTTAAATATAAATGTCGACGCTATAGAATTATATACAAAAAAATGACTGAATCAAATGAAACAAATGATAATATTGACGGTAAAATTATTGATACTATTTTTTTTTTGATATAAAAAATAATTTCTTGATTTTAAAGAACAAGATCAATTACGTCAAAAACTTCTATGGAATGTTAAACGAGAGGTAAATTAAAATGAATTATTATCAATTGAAATTTATATATTTTTTTTTTCTTAGGTTAAACAAATGATGGAAGAAGCAGTAACTAAAAAATGTATTCATGAAGAAAACTGTAGTATAACAACATTTTCCAGTAAATATTTATTTGTTTATTTTTTTTTTCGTTCAATAATTTTTTTCTTTAATATTTCAGGTGCTGTTGAAGCTTGTCTTTTACATGGTCTCAAAAGACGTGCTGTTGGTTTATTTAAAACAAGTACAACAATGGCACTTTTACAAAAAATAGCAAAATCTTGTCCATCAGCTGCTGAAATTGTCAAAATTATTGATAATGATAGTCGTTTAAATGAAGAATCAACTAATATATTTAGTTTTTCAAAGTATATAAAACAGATTAATAATTCAGAATTTATCATGTGTGTTTTTTTTCTCTATTGAAAGAAAACGATCTACTGCTGAAGATAATCAACGTCGTTCGATGCGATCAGCTATATATAATCGTTTTTTATGGATTCGTACTGCACTTATTCATCGATCACTTCATAAAATTGTTGAATATATTGTCAATAATAGTTCGTATGTATATAAAAATATTTATTATTCTATTTCAAAATTAATTTATTCTTTCTTAGAAAATATTATGAATCGTACGCACTTGTTAGTAATTGTGTTCAAGGACCAATTCTAGCTTCATTACTTGGTAAAATAAAATTAAAAATTTATTATTATAAAATTTATTTTTTATAGTTGGTCCATGTGCACTTGAATTTACTGGAGTTAAAACATCTGATCATCTTTGGACAGATCCTCATGCCAATGAACTTGTTCAACGTCATCGTATGCATAGTGGTAATCGAACATCGACTAATGCAACATCGATGATGATTAATGTCAATGATTCTCATTCACCGAAATTTCGACCAAGATTACAAATAAATGTAAAAAAAAATTAACAAGTGAATTCATTTCAATGAAATCTGTTTTTAGTTAAAACGTCATGCAAGTTCCTCAAGTGAAGATACTCAACGAAATAATCGATCATTATCCATGGCAACGAATTCAGCGAAAGATTATGTTGAATCACTTCATCAAAATGCTAAATCACAATTGATTTATGGAAAAAATAATGTTCTTGTACAACCGGTAAAATAAAAATATATTTGACTATTCAGCAAAGAGTCTGTAAACCTCTCAAATACGTAATAGATCACATATACAGCAGTAGCGGTGGTTATTGTTTTTCTTTTTCCTCAGCAAAAAGATGTTATATTACTTCAAAACAATTTTTTACTATGACGGCCGCCCCCTCCGACAAACCGCCACTCCCTCGCTAAAATACAGAATTAAATAAATGCAAATATTTACTTCATATTATTCAAATGATTACTAATATTTCATTTTTAATTGAGTATACTTGAGAAGTCTAACCACATTAGCAATTGAATCTACTCTACTATGAATACAAAAGAAAATAGTTATCTTAAGTAGTTATTTCCTCTGTAAAAGTGTTATAAATCTATATTTGCTTAATTTATCGTTCAAGTGTTTTATAATTTAATAATTGCTTGATTTATTCATAGGTACCGGGTCATGATCCTATACCGGGTTACCTTTCGTTACATCTCAATCAAAATGGTTTAACATTAAAATGGACACCAAATCAACTTATGAATGGCAGTGGTAGTAGTAGTAATAACAATGTACCGAAATCATCAAAAGATGATTCTGAAGAAATAGATCCACTTGATAGTAATAATACACCAGAAACTTCAAAACGAGCCAGGTTTATTCGTTCGTTTATTTTTAAATATAGTTTTTTGTATATAAAAATATTTATAGTATTCTCTGGGATTATGCTATATCAGTAAATATGTCTTTAATTGTTTATCTTCATTGTCATCACCATGGTAAGAAGAAGAAAAAAATTTTTATTTATTTTACTTGATTTTTTCGAATATTATAGTTGATGGTGATCGTATTGTACTTGTTGGTCGGGATGGTGTTCAATATCCTCCATTACATATAAAAGATAAAGGTGGTCATTTATTAGCATTTTTATCTTGTTTGGAAAGTGGTCTTGCACCTCATGGTCAACTTGATCCACCGTTATGGTTTGAAAAGGAACATGGTTAGTCGAATCGCTTAATATAATTATAACCCATAGTTATATTGTTCGAATCTACTTAACAGAATTTCATAAATATGATGAAATTTTTTCTCAACAATATTGATGTCACATACACACATGATATTTTGTTATGTCATAGTTACTCTGATTTAGAAATTCTGTTTTATTAATTAATTTATATATTTATTTAAAATTAATGACAATTTTATTTTCTAGGAAAAGTTTTTCCAAAAATACATCGTCGTACAGAACAATCTGCTATATCATTAAGTACAAGTGATGATGATACGAATATACAACATAATACAGATATAACAGATGATGATACATTATCAACACATGGAGATTATGTTTTTCGAATTGTCTTCTTTTCTGATCGTTAGTTCATAGTTGTCTGCTTATTAGCGATATAATATATATCTGCTTTTATTGTTGTAAATGTCATGTAGTAAAGGTGTTTTGCTTTTATATCTAATGAATATTTATTTTATAAGTTGTTTTTTTAATTATTATTTAGAAGAGACTCCTCCAAGTAAAGGTACTTCAAGTCGATGGCAATGGCCAATATCAGCAGTTAATTATCGATCACTTTCTTCTCAATCATCATTATCACCACCAGTACCCATGCATGGTTTAAGTACATCATTACCACCATCACCAATAGCTGAATCATTCATTGATTCAGCTGTTTATGTTTCACCAACAACTAGTTTACATAAAAGTGTATCTGTTAGGTAATTAAAATTTTTCGTAATTCGACTAAGAGAATATTTACATTTAATCAAGTAAAAAGACTTCTGACATTATATATACACTAGAGATTTAATAAATAGAATATAAACATGATTACAGAGTACAAGACATATAGTTCCGATTTTCTATCCAGTTCATCAGACATAATTCATATTACAAAACATAGTATTATAGATTAGTCAATATGATTGAATGAGTTTCGAAAAAAAAAGTAAATCATTAAAATCAATTCATCATCACATATAATAATATGTATTTTGTAAGTGTATAAATATTTTAGTGTCCTATTTGAAACGAACAGTATTAAAGTTTCAAAAGAATAGTCACGATATGCATAAATACTTACTTCTTAAGATCATACTTTTCTTCTCATACAAGAAAAAAACATGTTTTTATATATTCTTATTAAATCCTTAAAACATATATCTCTAAAGTCTAAATAGAAGCTCAACTTTACACTAATAATCTTAATATTTAGAACATCTATGGCATCATTATGCGATACAATGCGTCGTCAAATATTATCTCGTGCATTTTATGGTTGGCTAGCTTATTGTCGTCATTTAAAAACTGTTCGTGCACATTTAATAACACTTGTTTATCCAATGTCAATAGGTATAAATGAACAAATACCAATAAATTTATCATTAACAATTGAATCATGGACGGAATTATTTCTTAATAAACAAAAAGAAAATTTACCTGTTGATAAAAAAGAAATCTATCGAAGAATTTATTCAGGTGGTTGTAATCCATCGATTCGTAAACAAGTAAAACGAAACGATATTTTTTTTGTTTTATTAAAAAATAATTTCAAATTTTTGTCTAGGTTTGGCCATATCTTTTTTCACATTATTCATTTGAATCAACACATGATGAACGAATACAACTTGATCAAAAAATAGCTGATCAATATCGTACATTAACAAATGAATGGCAAAGCGCTGAAGAAATTGTTACTAAACTTGATATTCAACGTTCAAATCATCGTAAAAATTTAATAGCACAAGCTGAAACAAATAAAAATTCAGATGAAATAATAAAAACATCAGCATTTAAAAATGTTCTTGCAAAAATTTCATTACCAACTTTTGATTCACCCGAATGGAAAGATACAAATATACCAAATGATGTTTTCTATGATGTATATTTACGACAAAAAACGATTCCATATTTATTTTATAAATCTTCTTTTTTTTTTAGGAATCTTCGGTTTATACTGTTTCAATTCCAATTAATGAAGAAACGGAAATTTCAGAATTATCATCAAATCAATCTGTACTTATTGCTCGTACACGTACAGAATCTGTTATTGATCGTTCATCACCTTATAATATTATTGAAACAAGTACAGACGAAGATGATAATGAAGATGAAAGTAATCAATCTATAAAATCATTTGACCAACAAAATGATAATAGAATATCGGAACAAAACGAAACAATATCACCATCATCAAGTATTACATCTGGCACGGATATTTATATGGACGCTGTTGATATGTTAGAGAGCGAACAACAATCAGGTTAAATATTTCCGAGAAATTCTATACTGATTTTCATTTTTTTGTTTTATCTAGATGGTTCATTAACACCGATTTATTATGGATCATTTTCAAAAGAAATTATTGATGCATTTGCAGCAAATATACACAGAATTGACAAAGATGTCGCAAGATGTGATAGAAATTATTCATATTTTATGAATTTAGATAATCTAAAAAAATTACGAAATATTATGTGCACGTAAGTTTTTCAATGTCTAGTTGCACACTTCAGAAGAGATTTACAATGGATAGATTATCACTCATCTATTCTTCTCTAGAAATTGACATTGAATCGATATAGAATTTCATCATGTCATAGATAATTGACAAGTTATCAGAATTAATTATATCGAAAATATTACATCAACTATTTTTAAATTAAATTAATCTAATTATATGAGAGATGGACCATATCCCGCAATAAAGAGAAACTGTTCCACTTCAAGGAGAAATCCTTTACCCACGCAAAGTCAACGGGGCATCCTTTTTCGATAAAAGTCGAAACAATTCGAGGTCCAAACGTTGATCCATATCTCCACTCATAAGGAGAAATGGAACTTGAAAGAATGGATTACTCTGTAAATGAAAATATCGATATCGTATTGCGTTGGATATTGAATGCGTATACATTCACGTTTTCACTATTTCCCTTTGGAATGAAAAGGATTTCTCTTTATATTGAATATCTGTACGGTATTGAACAATTCATTGGATAGATGTCGCTCTCGCGTTTTCCAGTTCTCCTTAAAGTGGAACAGTTTCCAGATCGACTTCTCTAATCGTTCACTACTGGCAAATCGAAATATCGAGTGGGCGCCGCTCACCCGCTAGATAAAACATTGATAGAAATTTGTACTCCCCTCACAAACACTTTTTCTTAAACATCGATAATAGACGTCAAATCGCGTTTCATATTTTAATCCCATAGGAATTGAGCTAACACCTTTCTTATAAGATACTCTATCGTAAAATACATCCACATAAGAGAAAAAACCTAGTGTCCTATAATCTTCATTATTCGAGTCTCCAATAGTAAAGGCCACAGAACTGTAGCTATTCTGATTAAATATTCTTTTTTTTCCGTAGATATGTCTGGGACAATTTAACTACTGGTTATATTCAAGGCATGTGTGATCTAGTTGCACCATTATTGGTCTTATTTGATGAAGGTTATTATTAATCTATTTAAAAAAGTTATATTAATATAAATTTTTATTTTTTTTAGAAGTATTAACATATAGTTGTTTTTGCCATTTAATGAAACGTCTTCTACCGAACTTTCCTCATGGAGCTGGTATGGATGAACATTTTGGTCATATGCGTTCATTATTACAGATACTTGATTTTGAACTTTATGAACATATCCATCGTACAGGAGATTTTACTCATTTCTATTTCTGTTATCGATGGTTTTTACTTGATTTTAAACGAGGTAAGAAAACAAAAAGAAATTTCAATAAAAATAAAATGTTTTGTTTTTATTAGAATTTGTTTATGATGATATATTTCTTGTATGGGACATAATTGCTGCTGCACGACGAACAGTTTCCAAACGATTTGTATTATTTATTTCATTAGCAATGTTAAAATCATATCGAGATATTATATTAGATAATCGAATGGATTTTACAGATATCATTAAATTTTTTAATGGTTAGATTTGCTTTAAAAAAATTTTCTAATATGAAAATTATTTTTTCCTTTAGAAATGGCTGAACGACATGATGCTCGTGAAATTTTACGTATTGCACGTGAACTTGTACTTGAATTACAAAAATTAATTGATAACAAATGAAAGAATGTTTATATACGGTGAATTTTAATTGTCTTATATATAAGATAAAACTTTTTTGTTTGTTTTTTGTTTTTGTTGTCTATTTATTCTTATCATTGAATTTGATTTCTTTTTCTTGATTAAGTTCATTTAGAAGTTATATAGTCATATATTTATTAAAATATATCTATTAATCTCTATTTTTTTGGACGTTGTTTTCATCTATAAATTGTTTCTTAATACATTTGTGCAATTATTCTTCATTTTATTGTTGTGACTAAAAAGAGCAATATTATATTATTGTTGTATTTATCGTTGTTGGTTTAAAATAAATATTATTTATTGAAACTGTCTTGTTCAAATTGATTTTAATACCAATATAAAAGATAGTATGTGAAATGAATAGTCATTTTTTGAACTATCTTTTACATTTAATTCAAACTGAAATAATATCATCTGACAATCTACTACAGAAACATTATGATTATTGATGAATATATTTAAAAAAAACTGAGTTTCTTGACATGGTACAAAAATTAACGTAAGTTAAATAAATAGTTATAAAAGCAATAATATGAATATTTTTTAATCTTAATATTGATTTTTCATTTACATATTTGCTTAAACGAAGCCAGACGAAAAAATACATGACTACGATGATTCGAGACCATCATCTCACCTCGATGCAATCAGTATAAGTCAAAAAATCTAGGTATACAGTGGCAGCTGGTTGTGTTAAATTCGCCTGTATATCATTTAACGTTCATGAACATATTTCGAGATAAATTTATAACTGAGGATTGCTTTAGTTCTAGACATATTTTGAAATAAAGTAGACTGTTGCGTGATACATTGATGATATTATACTGAATAGGTGATAAATAAGTGCAATAAGAACTTTTAATGTCACGATTTCGGTTCGATTGAATAGACTGATTTTTT